ATATGCTTTTGTAAAATTCATTACAATATTTTATGAAATCACAGCATTGTGCCCAATAGAATGTAAGAGTAAAGCAATTGATCCCAGTAGTGTTTTACTTAAGTGATGAAGCATTAACTGTCCTCTTTAGGATTTTCTTTTTGTAATATAATGAATAATATTGTTGTGTTGTGAAAGGAATTAATTCAGACAAAAGAGAAGCATTGGTATGAATTAGCCTTTGGAATTGCCTGTAACAGACCTGCTACCAGAAATGTTTAAAAACAGCCTGAGAATGATAGGATTGGAAGAAAGTGACTCTGCCTTGAATGATGGTTTGCAGTATTTAACTAAAATTCTTGAGTAAAGCTGGCTATGCTTTACTAAATAATCTTACTATTGTCAAGCCTGAAGTGATGACCATTTAAAGGCATTTTCATTCTAGACCTTTCCTACTGAGATTTGGGTTTGTAATGCACACTGAAGTCCTAGGAAACAAATAGAGATATGATCATGGGCCTTTTTGGCACCTGATCTGCTGAGGAAAATAAAAAACCAAAAAGGCTCACACAGATTTTTTAATAGAGTTTACAGTTAGGCGGTTTTCTCCCTTGTACAAAATTTCCATTAGCACCTGTACTTAGATAGAATGTAACTGTTTTCTAGTCCCTTTTTATACTATACAATGAAGCTGGCAGACTGCATGAAGTTATGTTTAAAGCTGTCAGGAAATCATTCTGAGTCCCCAAATGTTTCCCTTTCCTGCTTGTGTCCTGGTAGAGCTGCAGCAGGGAGGTGACTCAGCTGTTGTTTCATTTTTGGGTTTCTGACAAGTGAGGTGTTTGCCAGTTATGCAGTTGTTCACTGGTTGTTTTTCTTGGCCACTGTCCCCCCATGTGCCAATATGAGACACCATGTCTTGGCAATTTCTTTTGGGATTGCTGGACAGGCTCCAGTCAAGTGCAGGGTGCTGAACATTATGCATGTTCTCCCTGCTCAGACTCTCTGAGGCTGCATCTTTCAGAGAGAATGGGGATGACCTTTAAAAATATGAGGGAATCAAAAAATTTTCTTGAGTTAATAAAGGAGTATGTCTTGTTGAGACTGGAAGTAGGACTTTGTTGATCTTCCTACTTCCTTCATTTGGTTGAAGGTGTAGTGATCATCATGGCAAGTTTCTGCCCTTTATCACATAGTGTTTCAGATTTGTCAGAGTCACATGGCAGAAGGTGCAAGTGAACTCGCAAGCTTACAAAATCCAATGTCCCTTTCAGTGCCAGCACCTTAATATTTTATAATTTTATCTCAGAAAATAGATTTCTTGCACCAGACAGCATCTTGCAACCTTTCTCTTCAGAGAAAAGTAAATTTGAGGTATTTGAAAAAAGTATTAGGATTGTTTAACTTTGTGCAGTGCCCTTGACTTCAGTTAAATATGTCCCAAAGACACTTGTTTCAACATTAAGCTCTGCAAACTCCACCAGCTGGGACTTAATTGCATACAACCCACAAGCTGTGTTAAAAATGGAAGTTAAAAATTCCTGTGGAGTTGCTCCATGCTTGTTTTCTTATTTTTTGCGATGTGGTTGTGACCCCACGGCTCATTTTTTCCTCAAAACCAATGAGGCAGAAGCACATGGGTGCTGATGCCAACCCTTCCTTACAGATGTTGGCTCTCTGCAGGTGAGCAGCTGATAGAAAATCTTCTCAGACAGACAGTGTAGGCAAAGTGATCATTTAACTAAACCAGTGAGATCTCTCATCATCCCAGAAACATGAAATATGAGAAAAGAAGAACTGAGGGAGATTTTGTGATTCTTACACTTTTTTTGGTTTTTTTATTTTATGTTTTGATCACACATTTTAATCTGACCTTGAAAAAAATCCCTCACTGATGCAAAGGAGTAGGCATAGGCTTTTCTTCAGGCTCTCTTTGGAAAGGGTTATAAGGAGTTAAGCTAGTTTTTTTAAGCTGGATTCTTTTGCTCTGTAAGTGCTTGTTAAAACTTTCTTTTTCAGCTAGTGATCTTTGCATCAGTGACATTGTATGTGCAGCGTTAACAAGAATTAATAAAGAAAACTTCTATTTTTGAAGGAGAAAGTTGCCAAAATTCAGATAATTTAGATATCTCATGCATTTTTTTTCACAGAAATTATTAGAAACTTTTCTTCTACAGAACAGTCAACAAATTCAAAACTTCTGCTTGTAAAAGTGCTCTGATTGGATGTGAATTCAAATCTCATGCATTTGTATCAATATCAAAAGCAATTTTTTCCAATTATGGGTATAGGAGTTGCACCCCACAAAGCAATGAAAGAAGGAAGAGTGACATTACTGCTCTGTAACAGAACAAGACAAAGCAAAGAAAAATCCCTAATTAATCTTCCAGTGAATGCTCTGCTTGAATGTATAATCATTTTGTCCTTACACTAGATTGTAGAAGTTACTACAGGCTATAAATATGGGGATTTTTTTTACTTTTCATTCTTAATTCCACTTTCTCTACTCAGTGGTTTCACTTATTCAAGTTCTTTAGATCAAGAATAAGCATGGCTCAGGCCAGAAAACAAATGACATGTCAGGGTAAAAGAGCCTCCCAACAAGAGCAGGAGAGTACAGTCCTACAGCCCTTAAAGTCTCAAAGGTTGTGCCATGATTGGGGATCCTCATCCTATTTGCTGTGTCTCCAAACCTGGCTGAAGTGGCAATGAAGAAAGATTGCTCATGGCAAACCAGTCTTTGGATAGCTGAGGCCTATATTTGCTCCTCTAGACCCATCACCCTCTGTCTTCAAATTGCTGGGCTCTGTCCTAAACAAACCAGGATTTAACCATTAAGCAGATGTACAAAATCCTCTTTAATATTAAATGGGGATACTGAGATTGATGGTACCTTTGCACAGCAGTGCATACTGAAATTGCATTTGCTCACACCAGTGAGGCCAGCTGTGTCTGACAGACTCATTCTTCTCACCTTCAGGTTCTAATGGGCTGCATTTTAGTAAGCTTTCCCAAGTTGTGTTTTTAACCTTTATTTTTTAATGAAAGAGTGTGTTATGAAGTCATCCCTAGGCCAAGATCTGAATAAGTCTTGGATATCTTCCTGTTTTGTCTCTCACAATATAACCCTGAAACCTTTTGAGTTATCAGGTCTGGTATGAGCCGGTACATATCTGAAGTCAAGTCTGTTATAGAATTCACAAGAAGTGCCCAGCTGGGAAGAGCTGGGAAGAGCAGAACAGAAACCCTTTCCATCTTGTCTTTCACTTTCTGTTCATAACATAATGTTTCTTTTTCCTTAAGAAATAGCAAACAGAAGAAAACCCCATCAAACACAAAACTCATAAAAATTCCTTCAGACGCAAGCAAAATAAAAATCAACAAAATAATAAATTTTTTGGGGGGTTGCTATGGGTGCCACTATAAGTGAGGTGCCAGGAAAAGTTCTGTTTGTGTGTGGTGCAGCCTTCATGGTGATGGCTTTGTCTCAATTAGTTGTTTATTTAAGAGGAAAACATCTTTCACTTTTGGTACTGTGGGCAAGTTGTCTGTAAAAGCTACCAAAGAATACAACATACAAATGTCCCAAAAAGGAGATAAAATCAGTTCTTTTCTTCTGCTATTTAAAGTGTTCCTGACCCTGAAACATATTTCTCTAAGGCCAATGAAATTAGAAAAATGTAAATGTTGTACAAAAAGAGGATCAGATCCATAAACTGTCTGTGTCTGCTCCTATTAGGACATTATTAAGGGAATTCAGTGAAGGACTGGCTGTTGCCCATGTGAAGTATTTGTTTATAGTTTTTTTGAAATCCTGACCATCTGAAAGATGGAGAAGCACTAGAAAATACACTGCCAGTCCTGGACCAAACCCATCCAGATAATTAACATCAAAGCTTGGTATTTCCATCATGCTTGATGACTTCAGGGCTTCTTAAGCAAACCAGTGCCCCAACTATAGAAGCAACAAGTAAGAGTTTGTTTAAAAGCCCAAGTGCTCATTTAATTAACTTATTTAGATCAATTTAGATTGCCAGTCTGTAGCACTGCTGTTGTAAGGCTCAGTCTTCTGACTTGGATACATGTCAGTCATGTTGAATGATAGCAGTTGTGGAGTGAAAGCTGTGCCCAGATGGACTCTGGGGGCTTTGAAAATGAACCAAAGCTCTTTCCAAAGGCAGAGGCAGCAGGAAAGTTGATCCTTTTTCCTCATGGCTTGGCTCAGTTTTTCTCCAGGAGGCCTGAATGGATTCAGCAAGCCAGTCTGAATCTTTCCAGAGATCACTAGATGGGGTCTCCAGGCAGAAAATAAAAATATTCTGGCCTGTAGATTCCCAATTCCCAAACCCACTGACAAAGACATGCCCAAGTCCCAGTGTAGCACCTGTGTTGTTGACTCCTTCTGTCAGGGAAAATGACAGCTTTAGATTGATAACTGTTGTAAGCCTTTTCTCATATTGCTACAGGGCTGGAAACATTAGCGACTATGAAATCAGCCATCCTCTGATCTTGCATTTTGTTTATTTGCACAGAGATGTAATGCCTAAATTAATGAACAAATCACTTAAAACATAAAGTAGAATGGAAGGATTGTCAGGAAAGAACACCATGAAGTTTCAACATTATTTATAGGAAACTGGTGAGAAATTGTTTTGCAGCTCTTCATTTAATGGAGAGTTAAGGATTTGGAATAAAATACATAGAGTTGAATGGCATTTTTCTCCCCCATAATACAAGCTGGGGAGAAGTGAGATTGTGGCGTGGGTGACATTGTGTTAAATAGTTTGGCAGTTACTGGTTACAACTGAGACATTTAAGACACCATCTCTGAAATATTAAATGTTTTCCTTCAGGTAAAACACACTTGTGTTCTTCACACTTGTGAAGAAAACTGCTTAGAAAGGAATTATCATATTTGTTTTATGTTACTGCAATGTTAATGTAAATAATTAATTTATGATGGAAAAAAATGTCTGAGAGATTACTGTATAGCTATTCTGAAACCATTTTGGTTCTTCCAGATTTAATTGTGGGTGCATTTGGAGCTGGAAAAGCAGTTGTTTACAGGTATGTGGTAAATACAATGGATTTGATATTTCATGGCTTTAGTGGGAGATAAGAAAATTTTAAAATGCCATATTCATATTTCCCTGTTGCAGTGTGTAAAAGGTGGTCATTAGAGATGTTAAATTAAACATATTTTGAAAAAGAAGTGGTTTTTTCCCATGCTCAAACCCTGTAATTTTCAATGAAAACTTCCATGCTTAGGCTTAGCTCCAGCAGCTTCTAGAATGTTTGATTCTTTAGTTAATTTTAAATAAGAAATTTAAAAGGCATGGGGTTGAAAATTAATTTCTTCCCTGGGGAATTGGTGCTACTAAGACACTTTAAAGTGACCAATCTTCAGAGATTGTGTATGTTAAGATGTGAACCATTTATTGAACATAAAGACTGCTACTTTTAGCTTCAGTTTAAAAAAATGCACAAGATCCCACTTTACAAAACAATAAGTTGTTGCTGACTATGGAGTTTCATTAAATGCACTTTTTGATGAGATGTAAAATTTGAAGCTGCCAAATACATAGACATTTACATAAAATCTGCTAATGCTCTCTTAGTCCAGCCATGCTGACAGCTCATTTTATTTAAGCATTCACCATCCATTGCTACAAAATGTGGTCATATTTCTGATTCCTGTCTGGCTTCTTGTTGTCTGTATTCCCAACAGCATCTGACTGAGAAAAGGCATGTTTTGCTTCCCAACTGAATGTTTGTAACAGCATAAAAATTTTATAGAACAGGAATGTTCACTCATCTCAGCTAACGCTGTAGGTGTAGTGAGAAGTCCTGATTTTCCTTCTGTGCTGTGAAAGAATCATGCAAATACTTTGCAATGCCATGAGTGACTGCACAGCATAAAGCATTGGGGAATCAGATCCACTGTGTATTTTCAATAACAATAAAATGTGTTCTACATAATTTAATAAAGTGAATAGCAGGAGGCCATTTCCTGGCCAGAATGTATCAAATATGCAACTTGTCATGCTGTTAAAATAGAGTTTTATTACTGAAATTTTCTAGGCAAAAAAAGGTTTTCCCTGTTGCACAAAAGTGAAGAGAGTAATTTTATTTTTTAATGTCTTACTGAAGTAATATAAAGAAGTAATCATAAAAGCTCACATGTGGATTAAAATATCAGGAAAGTTAGAAAATGGTGATTGTGTAAGTTACTGTATATAGTATTGCTGTCTTAATCAGAATCTGGACGCATACTTGTTATTATTTGTCTTCTAAACTGCTTGCAGTTATAGATTATCACTTAATAACAGCTTCAGAGGGATGGTTTCTGTCCCCAGAACTGTATATTCATGTACTCAGCACAATTTACTGGTGATTATTCCTGATTTACAAAGTCAGTTGACTCCAAGAAATGTCAGACAGAGTTTACTTCATTATTGGCCCAAGACAGTCTACACCAACTTCTACTTTAACCAAATCGTGTTTATTTCTTTTAAGAGTCTTGAAACAGACATTGTAATTTGCAATATATCATTATTAATGGAGACAGTACAGAATAAATCTGCAAGATGGCCAGAGAACTGCTGTAAAACCCAAAAAGGCAAATTCTGGTCCTTGGAGAAAACTCAGTGCGATGAAATGTGTCTGATGTGCCTCAGTCCTGGGACACATCTATTACTTAACCATAAGGTACAGTTTCTGTGATATGTTAACATGAGATTTTTTTTGTCCTACTGACCCCCAGTAGGATTCTGATGGGAAAAAAAAAAGGTTCTTTTGGGTATGAGCAGCATCATAAAACTGTGTTCTCCCAAGTAACCCTACAACTCTGGCTTCTTTGCAGCCAACTCAGTTCAGTGTTTTCTCTGCTGCAACTTAGGTACTAATGTGCTCCTTCTGAATGTGGTGAACCTTATTTCTATCTCCCAGAGCCAGACCTGTTGTGACAGTGAATGCTCATCTTATTCTGAACCCCATGATTGTGAATCCAGACAATAAAACCTGTCAGCTCCCCGACTCTCAGCTTTTGGTGGCCTGGTAAGTCCATGATTACTCAAAAAATATTCTTATCCTCTTTCTCAAATAACTTCCTGTTCCTTAATTTTATTGCAGCTCTTTGTTGAATGTTTTCAAAGTTCAAAATGCTGAGACATGCTCTGAGCACAACAAAATCCCCCTGCATAGAAATCTTTTTAGTATTTTCCAGTACTTAGCAGATTGCCTAACTCATTGTGGTAGGTAAATTTGAGTCCTTTGATACACTGAGTCTCCTTCTGCATAGAAGGATGCTCAGCTCCTGGGCAAGCTGCAAAGTCATATGCAATGTTTAGATGAATGAAACATGAAACAGCTAAAATGGAAAAAACAGAAAACACAGTCATCTGTTTGTTGACAAAATGTAACAGTGGAAGTGATGCAGAGCTGGTGGGCCCTCCATTTTCTCTTGGAGAAAGACAGATCTTAGTCCTTTGTGGAAGAGAGAAGGTATCTGGCTGGCCATGCAGAGAGAAGTTCACAGGATGTTGTTTCTGGCTGTCTTTGGTCAGAGGAAGGTTTTTTTTTTAGCACATCACACAGGACAATGTTTCAACCATCCTTAAAAGAGAAACTCTTAACCACAGTAACATTTAACTTTGAAAAGAAAAAACAAAACAAAACAAAACAAATCAACATAAAACCTAATTTAAAAAAATTTAAGATCAATTACAAGTACAGAATGCTTGCAGGACATGTGGAGGCCAACTAATAGCATGTAACACCACATAAAGGCACATTTACTGCACTAGAAAAAAGTCACTTTGAAAGGACCCCAGGAACAGCTGACAACAGAGGCTATTACAAATACATAAGATACTGTTTAAAAGTGGAAATCATAACAAATGAGGAAGCTAAAATCAAAACAGAGCATAAACACGTGCAAGTTGAATATAAAATGGTAGTAAGTCTTGCCAGAGAGTCTGTGAGGAACAGATTTCTAAGATGTAAAAACATTAGAAGCAGGAAGCCTGCCAGGAAGTGGGCTGAACAAAAACAATATTAAGGTGTAAAGGAGGACTCCAGAAGATAACATGAATGAGAAATTTTGCACTACTTTTAAACCAAAGATGGTCAGAGGATTTCCTCACATTGGAGACATTCTTTACAGGATATGAGTCCTAAAAATCATCTCAAATGCAAGAGGATCTTAAAGAATCTTAAAATTAATTGATACATATGAACTGTAAAACATAATCATGAGAAGCATGTCATTTAAGAGCCATGGAGGCTTTTTAAGGAACTAAACTTTGATAGACTTAAACCAATAAATAAGTGGGCTTCCCAAGCATATGGGATGGGGGGGGGGGGTCACGAGATTTTCACTCTTGCAGTGTTCTTTTACACTTTATGGACTTCTCATATTTTTATCATGCTCCTCATTTCTACATCCAGTGTAGAAAATTGCCCATCTACAGAGCAATGTAGAGCACTTAATGGAACTATACAAACCCAGAACTTTACAAAGCTTTGGCCTTTCTGGAATTTTTTTGATTCAATTATCTTGTGTTTTAACAGTTGATGCAAAAAAAAAAAATTTAAATACAGACACTTGGCTGAAGCATGTTCATTGACCCCAATTATGTTGTTTCACAAGTCCAGACTTTAAGACTTTAAAAAAATGCTTAATGTCATAATAGAAAAGATTTTGGAACCATAACAGTTAACAACAGGTATTGAAAGAAAAAAGGTGGTTTTTTGCACAAGAGGAAGAAAATCTCTCTTAAAAAACATTCTTGCTCTGAGATATTGTTTAGAAAAGGAAGGAAGAAATGCATACTCCTTTAACACATTTTTTTGGTTTTTTTTATTTCTCTGCTACAATAAGCCAGGAGTTTGGTTCATATCTACAAAGCTTTAATAGGAGCATAATTTAATTTCTGTCTGCTTTATTTTAAAATAATGCTCCCTAAAGATTTAGTTCATGTTATGAAATGACTGAAGAGCAGCTGCTATTTTCCACACTGTAATTTTTTTTCCTTAGTTGATATAAGCTTGTATTGTACATATGAAAACAATTAGTAGGGAAACTCCAACAGGCAAAGAATTCCTCAGTCCCATGGGACAGATTTCTGTATCTCTTAGCCAGCTGTGCAACTTGTATAAAACTCTACTGACTGACACTGCAGAATTAGAATGAAAGGAAACCTCCTACCAGAAAAGCTCCAGGAAGTGTGTGTGCATGAATAATGTGTATTATTGTACGTTTCCAAGTATTAGGAAAATATTATTTCTGCTATGATATAAATTGCAAAGCTGAAGCAGCAGAGGAAACATGCACAAAAACTCATTTTTATTCACAGCTCAAGGAGAATTGTCCTGAACTTCTAGAAGCATATAATTCGTTCTCTGCTGTGTGTAAAATGTGGCTGTTTCTGAGTTTCCAATGCTAGCAAATCTGTAACAAATTCTGCAACTTTGAAGGTATTAAAGAATATGGAAAAAGAGTTTATTTTCCCCTAAAGTGTGAAAAATGCAAGTTACTATCTGTAAAAAGAGGTAAATACATTACATATTTTCATTTTTCAAAACCTCTTCCCTCATTCTATGATTTATTATGTTCAAGATTGGGCTCTAGCTGTCAGGAGATCTAATTTATCTATGCATTGGTATTTTTCTTACCATTTGAGGTCTGATTATCCATTAGCTACCTCATATATTTGTTCTTAAACTGCATCTACAAAAGTTTTTTACTCACCTCTCACTGATGTAAGGTGAATATTGTTAATTCCATTTTGTAGAGGAGCAATAAGCGAGAGAAGTTACCTGACTTACCAAAAGTTGCATAAAAGTGTCCAATCATGAGAAAAAGTTGATTTGTAGCATATATTGTAGAATATATTTTGTGTGTGTGTATATATATGTTTATATTTAATTTTTTATATTTTAAGACTATATTTTTTATTTGTAATTGTTTTTCATGTTTGGATGTCTCATTTGAACTGTGCCTTGTAGGCTATCAGCCTCTGTAAAGCCAGTAAAACCAGAAGCAGAGAGCTTAAAATTTCAGATTTAAAGTTCCTACTATCAAAAAATACTTGGAAAAAAATGTAGTTCCTTTATCTCCAAATTTCTTACTATTCAAGTAGTAATAAAATATTTATGATCTTGTGTCAGCTAGATTCAGTAAATGAGACATTTTTTGCATACACATTTTTAAAAGCTGAATACAAAATTCCTATCAAAGAGATAAACACCCAAAATAATATTTCAGCAGTTCATATCTGCATAGGTTAGATTTGCTTCTTTCTGCTGCTGGTATTTTCTTTTCTCATTGACCTAATTTGAAAGAGAATGTGGTTGGTGCCCCATGGATATGGACCTAGGGGCCATTGTTAAGATGAATTGGTGTGAGATTTTCCAAAGACTGTTGGCCAGCCTGACCCCATGGATGGGACAGCAAAGCCACATGGCCAACAGTCAGAAGATGGATAGCTCACTCCTCAGGGGTGGTCAGAGGGGGTAGGCAGGTGGTGTCACTTGTCACCAACACAGCTGAGGTGCTGTACAGGAGACCTCTGTGCCAGGTTTTAGCTTCAGTAGCCCTAGAGACACCCAAAGGGCAGTCACTTGTTCTATCCAGCAGCCCTAGTGCTCCTGCACCTTGGCCATGCAATGTAACTTAGCCATGAGAAGCCTTCAGCACTAAAACTCTGTGTTGGTCACTGGATTGGACTTGGCCATAACAAAATCTAAAATCAGGGCAAGAATTAGAACATCACAATAGAAGTGTGTTGTTTTGCTTTTACATATTGTACTTCAAAAAGAAACTGTTTAAATGTTGTTCATAGTAAACAATAACAGCTTCTTCTCTTCTGTGGAGGTTTGTGACTTTGCAGGTTGGGTATCAGCCTCACACAGAATGGAAGTCCAGAACGTTAAAGCTTACATGCTTAGCTTAGCTTAAATGCCTTTCTGCTAAGGCATTTTCCATTCTTTCTCTCCGTCTACAAACCTGGGTGCTAAAGAAATCACTAGCAATGACAAATGACACCTGGTAGGATCTGCTAATGTCTTGCTTTTCAATTCCTGAAGTAAGTTTTCTATTTTTTTTCAGCTGCTGGAGTAGCCATACAAAAGTAATTTCTTTCTGGTACTAAGTGCAGTCTAGAAATTATTATACATGGATAACTAACTTTTACCACTTCTGGTGATATTAGGTAATTTTATTAGGGTTAACTTTTGAAGAGACTGCTCCCATCTGTGCCAGGAGTATTTTTGAAGAAAGGAATACTTTCAAATTTCTTGTTCTTGTAAAAATAATTTTTGCCTACCTGAAAAACATAGAGTTATTTTAAACAAACTGCCTCGTTGCCCTGAGGTTGTCAGGAAAAACTCGTGTGTTCAGTTTAAAGGCTTTCCCTCTATTTTGTAACTACATTCAAATACTATTCAAAGCATAATTTCATAGTGATGACAGACACAGCAGAATAAATGTGATGTAGGGATCTCTTCAGAGAGATTCATAGCACATAAAAAGTTTGTATGCTTTAGGATGATGGACTACTTCCCATTTGTTTCTTACTTGCTGAAGTTTTCTTCCTTTGATTGTTAATTCTGTTGTTTGGTTGATTGCCCCTACAAGCAAGCTCCAAAGCTCAGCTATTTTATTTCTTACTGTGCCTAGGAGTCAGATCTCAAATCTTTATAAATTCTTTAGACTGTTTTGTAGTCTGTCTTTCCCTCTACTTTTCTTTTTCTTGATACTAAAACATCCCTCAACATCTCCCCAGCATTTTCTTGTTGAAGTGATGAGCGAATCTAAATTCATCTTGGTTTGCAACTGAAATCTTTGATGTCTTTAGCACTGTTTCTGAACTAAATAACGAAATCACAAATGTGTGGCAGAATTCTGCTAAAACCATAGTCCTTCCTCTTGTGTGGCCAGAGTGTGGGAGGTTATCCACTCCAGATTTTTGCTTTTTTGCTCTGCTATTCCCTTTTTGACATGCTCTGCCTGGAGTGGAAGGAGTAAATCTTGATTCTTACAGTAATTTTTGAGAACATTACTTCAGTTATCAAATATGTATTATGAATTATTCTGTTCATTGCAGTAAATAAAGCATACACTGAAATTGTTCTGTTTGACAAATAAAGCATTCCAAGCTACATTTTTGAACACAACCTTTTTCCAAACATGATAGGACAAAATTTCTGTGACTCCTCCAAAGCAAGACAACTGAGTTTAATACATTGGCAGCTCTTGAGTTTACATCTGAGGAAATGCCCTCTTACACTCTGACATGTGAGGCCTGTGAAGTCTGATGTCTAAATTGCATTCATGCAATTACAAAGATTTCCTCATTTTTTTATTTTGGCCTTGTGTATTTGGAAATAATTGGTTCTCCCTGTATTGACTCATAATTGTAAAAAAGAAGGAATATGAAAAATCTGCATTCTCTGCATGGACTGGAATGACTTTTTGAAGGCTACAGTTTAATGGCATTATGCCATTCTTGTTTCTTAAGAAATATTGAAAGAATTTTCCATTAAGGTCATGACAGTGACACATATGCCAGATGCGGCAGTTTCATTACATCTGCCAGAGGAAGCAAACATGCAAGTAGAATGGGATTATGGGTTAGTTTAAAGGTTATGTTAGTGGTTTTTTATCCACTGCATTGGAACATTATTATACAGTATAACAGTAGTGAGGAGATCAAGATCAATGAATAAGGCAATTTTTTTTATTTAATTTAAGCTGATTTTAATGCTGACCTACAATTTATTTTCCATATGCAAACCAAAATATTTTAAGAAGCCATTAAAATTTTCATTAAGAATGATTGGTAACCAGAGGCACTTGCAAGAATCTATCACCTGAGCAACTTTGTTACATTATACAGGATTTCATTAGGAATTATGGTATGCAGAACTAAGTCTATGTGGCAGATGACAGCAGAAATCAAAAATCAAGAGCATCTTTCCAGTGACAGATTTCTTGTTTTGCCACTTGTCAGGGAAGTACTCTCTGCTAATTGCATCAACAGGCATAATTAATACTGTTTCTCATATCATCTAGAGTAATTTGTGAAAACTTTTTCAAAATGCAAATCAGTTAAATATTTATAAAACTTGCATAGATTCCTTACAAAGTGAAACTTTTCTATAATCATTACTTTTTTAGGGTTTTTAAAATTAATTTTTATATAAGTTAAAAGTTCACATTAGAAGGTATCAGGCACTACAACTATAAAAGGCTTCTCCTATCAGTTGTTGAGTATAACTGCAAATGTGTTGCCAGTCTTACACAGAAATATTTCTTATGGGAAAGGACTCTCCTATGGTTGAGGTGACATTTGTAAAATCATTTCAATTGTGATGTGAGTATTTCTAGGCTCAAAAGTGCTTGCTATACATTCAGAACAGGCAAATTTAAAGCAATTAACTTATGTGGTGTTCCTTTTTGTGGAATGCATTGCTTTAACCTACTAGATAAAGAACATGAATCACCAATTTCTCTGTGCTTTGATTTAGGTCATGTAAGTGCCACTTGCTGCAAAACTTAACAAATTAAATGCAATACAGTTTGGTTAGTCTGATGTCAGAAAGATTAAACAATTTATGTTTTATGTTTGGAATTAATTGTAGCCTGTTGAAATAATGAAAATCTTACAGTAATGCCAGTGTAACACTTGGTGTCCCAAGTGCTTTAATTTGCTGGAAAAGAGCTTGAGCATTGACAATATGCTCCAAGATTTTTCTGATTTGACCATGATGAACCAGAAAGTATTTCTGCAGACAGCCTCTTACAAAGGTGGTTTCCTGAACTTCAGCATAAAAAATCCAGCTTTGGCAATAGTGTCAGAAGGGTCATCTCCATGGACTCTTTCAAGAACTGCTGGGACCAGAGAATCTTCTCCATACCTTTGCCAGGAAATATTCAGAGACTGTCTTCTGAATATTCTTCTGTGATTATTAGTGAAGCCTAGCAGACTTCCTGACATAATTAGGGAATACCATAGGTAGCTAGATACAATCTCAGTTAACATCTTTTAAAGCAAATTAAAATAAAACTTAAAAGATATGATTTGGGAACTGCTGATTCCCAGGTCAGTCCATTTTCTGCTAATAATGAATTACTTCTCCTTTTTTATATGTAGCTTTACTGTAAGAGTCTGCGCAGATTTTGAAGGTCAAAGTATCTCAGATGAGATAGGTAAGAAATATTTTCTGTTGCTGTAATTTACTCTAGTCCTGCTCCATTTCAAATGTATTTTTTCCTACACTTGTAAAGACAATAGGAGTGAGATCCTCCTCAGGCAAGAAAATGCAGTTTAAAAAAAGTAGATAGATAGATGGATGCATAGATAGATAGATTAGATAGATAGATGGAAAGATAGACAGACGTGTGTGTGTGCGTGTGTCTGTGTGCGTATGTATGTGTGTATAAGAGCAAACCTTTTATTACTCACTTAAAGGATTTTTTTTTCAGTTTAAGTCGTTTTCTAAATGAAACCAAGAATGTACCTTGTTGGAGAAAGTTCTGTTTTGGAAAAATAATAAATTAAAGGGACAGAAGTCCTGTACACATATGATCTGTCAATGAAATAAGAAAGCTTAAATTATACATCCTGCATAATTTGGATCAAAACTTAGTGGGCTTTTAAACAGACAGGCACTTAAAACATGGATTAGTTTTTCTCGGAAGACTTGCCTAAGTTAATGAATTATAATACAGAATGAATTCCTTACTGTTTTATTTCTGTTATATCAATAAGTAATTTATTTATTTGTATACCTTAGTGCTCAAAGGTGAATTGCAGTTAGATTCATTGAAACAGAAAGGAGCTGTTAAGAGGACCCTCTTCTTTGATTACCATCATTCACATCACTACTTCTCCATTGTGATAGAAAGACAGAAACAACTCCATTGCCAGGACTTCCTTGTTTATCTCAGAGTAAGTTGTTTAAAATATTTTGGACTTTCATCATTATTTGAGTAGTACCAGGGATTTAAAGATAAAAATAAAAAGGAGTCACTGGAAGAGTTATCTCCAAAATTACAGAAATGGGATACAAGATAGACTTCATCTGTATGTTCAGTATGTCCAGAGCATTCTGCTACCTTGAAAAAATTCCCTATGTAAATCTTTGGCCTCATCTTTTGTCAATATAAGTAGAAAAGAAGGATTTTGAAGACTGTAGAATTTCTTTATGTAAAAATACATTAATTTCATGCTCTTCTGGAAATTCTGATCAAATACTGCATCTTCTGATATAAAAATGCAAGATTGCTTTCCATTTTTGGTATTCTTTTTTTTTTTTAATATTCACAGTGCAGTAATAAATGAATCATGTTAAATATCATGCCAATTTAGGTTCAAAAGATTATAAAGGAGTCTTACCAGAAATATTGGCCTAAAATTCATACATTTTAAAAAATATTTTAAAGATATTTTAAAATAATTTTAGAAAAAAAAATATGAAATTGAAATTGTAAAGGTGAAAGGATCAACACTTCCTCACTTGCAGGTAGGGTTTCCTCATGCAATTGAAGTAGATTATTCCAAGTCTGATCCAAGAAATGCAGTGGGAAGTGAAATGGAGAAGTTTCAAGCACTATATAAGGACATATCTAGATAGTAAAGGTGGTTTAATTTTACCATTGCTAAGTCTTATAAATTCTTGGGTATGGTACAAACCAGCAATATTACCTCCACAAATCCACACATGCCCTACCTCCATTTCAAAAGGAAGGGGGGCAGTACCTGATAGGAGTTGGTTCTGTGTGTCTCTCTTAAACAGCTTCATTTTAGGCTAATGCTTTGAAAAATTTCTGAGTCTACTCAGCTCAGCCAGCTTCTTCCAGATGTGGGGCTGTGGAGGCAATGTGTTCTGGGCATTCCAATTACTGGTGAGACACTTTGCTTTCCTAATGACACCACATGCAGCCAGAATTTGGCCAGCATCTGTCAAAGAACCATGTCTTACCTTCAATAAAGACCACATCTTTACCTTCAGAAGTCTGAATTTGTTTTTTTTTATACCAACTTAAATAATCATAGTAAACCATTGGTTTTATTATGTGATTATTACTCACAGGATGAAACAGAATTTAGAGATAAATTATCTCCTATCAATATAAACTTCAATTATAGTTTGGATGAGACCAGTTTTGAAGATAGTTTCACTGTGAAGCCAATCCTGAACTATTACCAGAAAAACTCACTAGCAGAGCAGGTATGAGTTTTGCATGTTACATTTTCCGTATATAAACATGAAAGCCTTTACAAATATTATGTGTGTCATCTTCCTTAAAAGAGAAAGCCAGAAATTACATGACAGGGATTTAATTAATACAAAATGTAGATTGAATATAAAACTAGAACAAACAGGACTTTCAAGTATTTCCAAAACTTTCTTGTTTTGATTGCCTTCTAGAATATGTAAGCCAAGTTAGTGTGGGAAAGGGACTGAAGATTATATTGTTCTGCTAAGGATATATTTGACCATCTAAATAGTCTCCAACCTCTTACTACCACATGAAAAGGAACTTACAGAAAGCATAAAAAGATTTATTTCAGTAAAGGCAGTGCTAGTAGTATTTAAGACAGGTTAGCAATATTTAGTGATGCAATTTGGACTTTAAGGCATGTACTAACTGTATTATATTTTTTTATTTGGCAATGATACAGGCTTACATTCTGGTTGACTGTGGGGAGGACAATTTATGTATTCCTGACTTGCAACTTTCTGCAGTGCCGTAAGTGAAATAAGATACATTATGCTGTATATACACAGTCCAGACACTGCTAACTGTTGCAACAGAATGATGTAGAACACAGTTCTGTTGTTTACTGTAGCTAATCACTCTTACTTGATTTCCTGATTTTAATTTGTGCATCCATTTCAGCTATAAAACCAAGAAATGGATGCACAAATTAAAACAAACCACATTCATGATGTTTAATGGTTATCATAGAAAATATAGTTTGCGGGTGTTTGTTAGAGTGGCTCTAGTTCTGTGAAAACCAAGAGATGATACAAATTGTTGTTCATAGGAGGGTTTTATTTCAGTGTGCCAGTGACTTTGCACTTGGACACAATTCTCTTGAGCTCAGTATACAGTGAAGTAAATTAATCTCAAAATAAAATTTTCAAAATATGGCAACAGTTTCTTCTGAGGAGGGAGAAATATGCCAAGCGGGACAAGTGGGGAATGTCTGAGAGTTACCTAACTCTCATCAGAATCAGTCTGTAGTTGTGAAACAAGGGCACAGTGCCATTGCAGGTCTCAGGAGAATATCTGTCATTGTTTGTATTACAGTGGACATGAGGAGATAACTACCACCTTTGTGTCCTCCAGAAAACAATGCTCATGAGACCCTGTGGCAAGTGGTTCCTCCACTAAATACTTCCTGTTGTTTAGAAAGTAGTCAGGGTCTGGAATTTTTTACCAGTTGCTTTCAAGTTTTGTGATAGTCCATCTTGGCCACATGGTGTTTTCTCTTAACCTCTTTTCTACCCAGGTCCTGCTATACTTTTTGATGCTGTCATTTTTATAGAAAATGGGTTTTTCTTGTGTTCACCGAGTGTTTTCCAGAACTAATGGTTTGAGAGCAAAATGTTCTTCTGCTTTATTCATATATAAATTCTAATTGTGCATGTTTTAACTCCTGACAAGTAGTATGTTCTATACAGGGATACAGATCAGCTAATAATTGGAGAAGAAAACTGTGTCATGCTCATAATAAATCCAAGGAATGATGGGGAAGGAGCCTATGAAGCTGAGCTACATATAAAAATTCCACCCGAAGCAGATTACACTGGGGTTGAACGCAACAACAAGGTAAAGTAAAATCAAGATGTTAGTGATAATGACAACTGAGAGCAAGGATACCTACATAGGCTGTACCAGCTGAAAGCAGCACATAAAGAGGTTCCTTTCAGGAAGGGAGATTCCATCAACTCTCAGTTATCCTTGCTTGCACAGCCCAGGGTAAAGATAAGCCATGCCTCCAAAAGATGGGAAGGACAGGACCATTCTGTTCAGAGCCAGCTCAGGTTCATTCCCATTAACCCAGCTCCTTCCCACTAACTTCTTTATAATACTACACAAATATTGTCACATTTCTTCTAGGAATAGAGGTGTTCACATACCTATACCTATTCACAATTCCTATGTTCAGATTTTGAACCAGTAAACAATAGCAGTAGCAGAAAGTAATACTGCCAAATTCCCTTAGTGCTTCCCTTAGCCTGGGATCCCATGGTACCAACTCCAGTCAGAGTTAATGAACCCTGCTGACCCCCAGACACTTGGACACTGCTGTCTCTTCTCACAGCACAGCAGTGTTTTACCATTATTAAGGGTGTCCCAGTCTCCAGTATCCTGAATAGTTGGACATTACTGCAGTATAAACTTGACAAAGTTACTTTCCCTTGTTGTCAATTCTTTCATGTTATGAATGGACCAAAAATGCAATTAAAATGTAAAATGTGCCAGTGTTCACAGAAGGATTGATGTTGTCTGAAGTCCTGCTGAGTTGTACTGAACATTTAGTGTTTTTCCTTTTTGGGTCTGTTTGTTTTTTTAAGAGCAAAGATGAAACCCTATCCTGCAAACAAGCAGTGTTCATGTATTCTCTGCTGGACAGCAAGTCTGAATTGCCTCATCTGCACATATATCTCCCAGGCTGTTGCAACATGAGCCTGCTTTTTTCTGTTAGTGCCTGGAATGTTCAAAAGGGCCTCAAGGGTGAGAGTGGGAGACAGCAAGTTAATTTCCTTTCTGAAGGCAAATGTTTTTAAGGAAGTTGAAAGTAACTTAAAAGGTATTTCCTTATTCTCCTTCTGTCAGTGACTTTATTAATGGGCCTCTAACCTAGTTTGAAAAAAAAATCCAAGAAGTAATGCTATCATCAAAGATGATAGAAATTCTCTGCAACTTGTCATCTCAGAAATATATCTTAAAGACACCAGCCTTTTCCTACTGCCTGTTCCTTTTGCTCTCTTAGCAAAGCCACAGATTTTTTTTGGACTGTAATCTACAAAACTAAAGTTCTCTTTAACATGCTACAAATGGTTACCTTTTTCCTTCATTCCTCTTTAGAAATCTTTTGCTGCTCTTTTGGATGTTACCAAGGTGTCAGAGGAGGCACTAATTCCAAAACCCAAGCATGTATTAGCACATTTCTATTATTTGAAGGACCTGGGGGTGGGAGTAGACAAGAGGCTGGACATGAGTTATCAATGTGCATTTCCAGCCCAGGAAGTCAAACGTGTCCTGGGCTGCATCAGCCTTCCAGTACCTGAAAGGAAACTAAAACAGAGACTTCTTACACTGCCATGTTGTGGCGGGACAAGGGAGAATAAATTCAAACTGAAAGAAAGGAGGTTTAGATTAGATACTAAGAAAATTTCTTGGCTGTGAGGGTGGTGAGGCACTGGAACAGGTTGTCCAGGGAAGCTACAGATGTCCCATCCCTTGACATGTTTAAGGCCTGGTTGGATGGAGCAGCCTGGTGTAGAGGAAGGTGACTTGTCCACAGTGGCAGGGGTGGAACAAGATGATTGTTAAGGTCCCTTCCAATCCAAACCATTCTCTGGTCTGGACAGAGAAATCATTCAGGGCTTTTTACCATTTTAGGAAAAACTTAGTTTTATAGTGACAACACAATAGACTTGTGGAGAAAGGAAAGAAAGATCCTGGTGCTTTGGAAGAATGAAGAGAAGCTAGAATGGGTTGAGAAGGAGTTTTAAAGTTAGAATACTTTTTCTTTTGAGGACAAAATTTTAAAAACCCCAGAAACACAATACAATTACTTCATTCTTTTCAGATTTTGGGAAAGATAAAAATGCCTTTCTGACAAATTCAATTCTGAATCCTCGTAGATAAAAAACTGCCCTCCTTTTCTCTACATTTACTTAGCTCATTCACAGACATAATTTATTTCATATTTTTTGCTTTTTGTACTTCATTCAAAAAGATATCATCATGTTCTTTCTGAGAAGGATCAAAACATTAGTCCTATTTGCTATGTCATTTTTAGTTCTTTCTTTCCGCATTTCAAGGACCATTTTCACAAGGATTACAAATGGCAGTGAAAAGAAGTTTATTCCTCCTATTGTTTTTGAATGGTAAATGTATATTTCTTTAAACTATGTTTTTTGCAATATTATGGTTCCATTATGTAAACTAAAATATTAACTTCTATGTTCATTTGGAAAAAAAATTAATAGTGTAAATTTCTTAGGGGTCATAGTATCACTGAGTACAAGTGAGTATAAATGAGAGGGATTAAATTCATTCAACTTACAGGGCTTTGAGCAATTTGAACTGACAAGATAACAGAAGAAGTTATCACACTGGATGCTGTAAGCACTGAGGTATATGGAAAAAAGGTCTGCAGGCACTTTTGGAGGCATGGACTAGAGGTGAAAATGACAGTTTTCATGTCAGTTGCAGTGGAGTCAGGATGCCAGTTCTTATTTTTATGTTTGTGTTGTATCCTGAAAATGGGGTATCTGTGACTGCTCCAGAAATGTACCTAATTTAATATAAAGCAATTTCAGCAGACAGGTAGATTTATGGTAGAGCCTATTGCAATCATATTCTTAAAGCTCTGCCTCTAGGTTGCATTTCCTCTTTGTTGCATCCATGTTTACAGTCCTCTTGTAGCTGTTTTTCTCCGAACTGCAGAATTCCTGGTATTAAGGCAGAGATAAGGTTCTCCTCAGAACCACCAAATCAGGCAGAGTAAGACAAGAATAAATGAAATGGAATTTGATACATTTCTGATGAAACTGAAATATCTGTAGAATCAAATAATTCAATTACACTGTCATAATTTCAAACTGACTGTATTCATAGAGGATATTTGTCTACTGTGGAGCTATTTCTGGATTTAGTCTAGCTAATAAAGAAACACACATTAAGTGCTTTATAGAGAAACACCTTAAGTGCCTCCTGTCCAGTCCTGCTTTTTTTTTCTTTATTTCATCTTAACAATGTCTTGTGTTATTCTATATCATTTGAATTACACTTAGAAGCTGATGAGGTCAAAAAATTCACTGAAAATCCACTTGCCTTCTACCTCCTCCCTTCAGCTTTCTGCAATATCGTGTTTGACCTGCCTCAGTTTGGCATTATCTTATCTCTGACCTGATCCTGTAGATGTATCCTGTAGATATCCTGTAGAATATTGCACACAGACTGTGCAACTACATAAAAGATTAACAACATTTTGCAGAAATGGGATCATATGCAAGGGGAGAGGCAAGTGAATGTGTGTGATTTTAAAGTTTGAGGTCAGGGACATGATTTTGGAGCTTCATTGATTCCTGCAGATGCTGACACTTCCTTCAGTCAAAAGGTGAGGATTGAAATAGAATGACTTTAAATGAAATCAAGTGTGTTTTCCACCATTTGTATTGTGGAAATACTTAGAAGGTCCAGACACCAGGTAAATGAGAAAATTACCACAGCTTCTCTAGTTCCTGCAAACCCACTGGCTTGCAGTAACTGTTCATATACAGTAGGTGTGAATTTATTGAAATTAGCTGCAATGAAGAAAGTATAACCACTTTGTAGTATTATATACATATATTTCCAGCAGTAGATCCAGAGACAATATGTATTGCTGTATGGTACATTCTTACACCACAACAGTCCCTAACAAGACTGTGTGTTTGAACCCCCAGGCATTGCCTGAACACTGTGCACCAGCCCTTTGCTCCATGGTAGAGCTGCCCATATTGAACAGCTCAATCCTCCCTTAGGAGCAAAAGCGGGGAGCCAAATTCTTATGGAATAATTAGTAAATCAGGCAAATACAAAGCACTAACAGATATTTGTTACACACCAAAAACATTATATATTTTGGCAGAACTGCCTCTGCTCCGGCTGGAAACTGCAGACTGGTGAAGATCACATGCAGCCAGGTATTGCAGTGGATAAGCTCTGAGCCATTTCCCCCATGCCCTTCTGAACTAGAGTTAAAATGAGAAAAAGACCTGGAACATTCTTGTCTTATATGGAAATTCTTAGACTAGGTACATTGTGGCTGGCTAGATGAGACATGATTTGAGCTTGGTGAAGGCGAAGACTACTCTTGATATGTCAGTTAGATACATAAATATACATCAACCAGAAGATCCCCTAATCAACTAATTAAATCAACTACTCCATCCCCTTTTCCTCATAAAATAAAATTGGAAGGTGATGGTAAAGGAAAGAGGAAGTTTTTTACTTGCCAGCTTGTTGTGTTTAACCGTTGTGGCATCACTACAACCACAAAAGAGTTTCAAGCTTGTAGGCTGCCTGGATTACTTAAAGCATCCAATCACTTTCTAGTTAAAATGCACCCTGGGAGCACATGTGATAATTGTTGTGGTTTTACTTCTGCTCAAGACTGCCAAAAAAACCTGTGTGTTGCTACAGAAATGTGAATTGCTACCAAAGTCAGGTAGAAGAGCTTTGTGGCAAACCCTTCCATCTGGCTGAGTTATATATGAATGTAATGATGCTGACCACAGTAGGTGTACCAGTCTCAGCTCTTGCTAGCTTCCTGCCTGGTTTTAATTTTCCTATTTTGTACTTAACCACCTCAAAAAGATAATCAGTGCAAAAACAGACAGTAAATCTCATTATGGAAGGAATTCTACCAAGATTGACCCTTTGTCACATCTTTAGACTGCACAAATTAGCTTTTGTGATGTTGGTCAGATAAATTCTGCAGCATTAATCATTTTTAGTCTAGGAACATAGCCTCCAGATTGCAGAAGAACTCCTTGAAAAACTATATTTTCTCAGCCTTTGAGGGCCAAAAAGAAATATGTGATAAGGGCTGATTTACTTTGTGTTGGTCTATAATACAGCATCTTTAAAGAAACTGCCAAGTATCTAATACAAATGAGTATATATATATATCTAACTTTTAGACTTCAATTTCAACTCCTCTCCCCCAACAAAAGCAAAACTATAAACCCACACATCAAGATCAAATGGACAATTTTCCAGACACGTTTGATTCTGACTGTGTTAACACCCTCTTTTCTCCCATGCATTGCTTCCCACCTCTAATTAACCAGCTGGAGAGAATATAAAAATGCTTTCCTCCCAACCCTAGAGAGGCTTGAGAAGGCTGTTAGTGCACTGGACATGCTGTGTAACAAACTTTTGTTTCCTCCTAGCAAACTGTAAAAATGTCAGCATACAATGAGGTGTCTGCTGAGGGCATGCTTCACATGGGCTCTATTTAGGACATGCCCTGTCTTTTCTTTTAATCTCAGGAAGTTAGAAGGACAGCATGTCCATGCTGGCTTTTACAGATAGGGCAAATTGGTACAGAGATTTCCCAGGTCTTTTTATACAGAGGTCATGAGCTCATTCACACTGGTTCATCTGTGAGAATCACAGATGAGCAGAAAGGCAATGCAACTTGCTGCATCCTGCTTTTACAAAGCTGCTTTCTGCACATACGTGGAAATGTCTTCATTTACTGAAGATGTCAGAGAGGAAAACAGAAAAAAACCCCAACACATTTTATTGCAACCCCCCATATTTTATTGCTTTGCTTTATTCTGTATCTACTAGCTTGCACTGTTTTATAGCTGTATCTCTTTTGTAGTTTGTTTTGTTTACAAATGATATTACTAGTGATAAGGATTGCTATAAACAAAAACAACCTTTATATCTGATAATGTGGAAATCTATCTGCTTTGTTGCTAATTATGTTTTTAGAGAATTTCTGTGAGACCTATTCTTCTCACTTAGTTTTGTCTACTCTTTGTTTCTCTGTTGAGTCATTATGGCTATAGGAATGATTCACAGCAACAAATCAGTATGGTAAAACTAGACATAGAGTGATCTCATCCTGGTTCTTAAGGTACTGGGAAACTATCCTGTTTGTTTTTCCCTGGCATCAGTTTCCCCCCGTTGTCTGACAATAACCAACTAAATGTTTTGATAGTGCTCTGAGCAGGTGTCTGAAATCAAAAGAAAGGTCACAGTCAAAAAGGCGTCACTTTCCCAACTGGATCCATTTCACTGTGATCTCTGACCTCTGTATTGGTGTCCTTTTGTTGCAGGCCCTGCGTGTGTTGAGCTGTGATTACAAGATGGAAAATGAAACTAGAATGGTGGTTTGTGATCTTGGGAACCCCATGGTGGCTGGCGCAAACGTAAGGGAAAACCAGATGCATTTACTGATTTTTATCTAATTGAATTTTAAAGGGGAACAAATGGAAATTTATTCAATTACCAGAATGTGTCCCAATAAGCAGCACATGAACCAAATTATTTACCTGGACAATAAATTGTTGGTGTAATAGGAGGCAGAATTGTGCTTTTGGAAAAGTAGCAATTTGTTTTGCTAAAAGATTAATTATGCTAGAACTTGGGGTTCGTGTCACTCAGAGAAAGTGAGAGTGGCTCAATTTATCACTATCATTTCATTAGAAGTTGCACTAGTATAATGAGAATTCTAATCTATAATGTAATCAGTTTATTTCTCTCTTTTAGAATCCTCTCTACTTAAAACATAAAGATATATGTATAGTAAATGACAACCTCGTCAGCCTGATTCTATTCTTGAGTGCATAAGGGTTGTATTGCCTGTTTATATCACAATTTATGTCAAGGAAAGTGTGTTTGGAATAAACTTATGCTTTAAAGTTATTATTTTATTTCTAAAGATTTCCCTGAAAAGTAAAAGTATCATCCTAAAAAGTGAAAGTAATGGAAAACATTTCTGAGTAATGGAATTTTTGTAATGGGATGATGGGATGCAATGACAGGCCAAAGCATGAGACAAATTCCAATTCAAGGCAAATAATTTCTTGTTCTGAGAAGACAGCAATTTTATTTATCTGCCTAGTAATTTCCTTGTTAGTGTCAAGGTAGAAGCAAATTCTCAAGATACAGACGGAAGTGAACAAGAACATTATGTGTGATCGGGATGCAGTGGAATGGGGCAGGAGAGCATAAAACCCCTTGGGCTGGAAGAGAAAAGGAAGAACAAACATGAGAGACACCAACTTGTATGCCAAGAAGGAAAGGAAATCTTTGCAGGTTGCATATTGTCCGAAGCACAAGCAATGGAAAGTCTGAGTGTAGAGGTGTTAGACTACAGACCCTGCTACTCCCCTCTTTGAATCCAAAGCCCTGTTTCCACATCATCCTTCACCCAAAATGCTACCAGTAGCAGTGTGAAGCCTTCAGGAATGCCATTTGGTGGCTACTAAAACATTACTACTCTTGCCTGTCTCTTTATGAATTTTCACAGCATAACTAATCCTTCTTGTCTTCAGAATCAACTCTAGGAGTGCTCTAAGTTCCATTGCCAGATACTACTAAGCACACTACTTCACAAAGAGAGAAGTAGCAGAATAAAACAGCAGGGCTCATAATATATTCAAGGGTTTTCTACTTTACAACAAAATAATCCATCCCTTTAAAACTGAGGCGTCAAAGGTAGAGCATTACAAAGCCAGATGGCAACATGGTTTGATTAGAGTAAGTGAAATCTTAAATCCTAAATTTATCTTTGAAGCCAGCTCTCCTGGAAGCTCAGTAAAGGTGAAAGGACTTGTGTTTTTTTCAGTCCAAACATATTTGTGATGGCAAATGTACTTCCAAAAGCAAAATACCAGCCCTTTGTACAAATTGCATAAATCTCAAAAGGTTGCTCTGATCCATTTCCAGTTTTGCAAAACAATTCTGCTCTGGCAGGAGATCAGTTATTCTCAAAACACTCAGTCAGAAAGGGACTCTTTGTGGAAATTGTGAGTGGGAAGGAAGGGTTAGGTCAAAATTGAACATTCCTAAAACTCTTTAACTATTGAGTCACCTTAATGACTTGCCAGCACCCTGAAATCCTAGAATTCTTGAGCTCTTGAAGATCAACTTCTGAGTATGAGGGTTATGTTGGGATTTTGTGATATAATCTATGGGATATTACTGCAGCAGACTACAGGCTTGTCTGACACCTCACATCTTCAAAATGCATTATGTCATCTATGTCCTTAAAATTGTTTACTGGCCACAAAAAATATTTCATCTTTTCAGTAATATCTTTGAAGTTAAAAAAAAAAGATCAAAGAGTAAAAATGAAGATAAAAAGAATTGTTAAGGAAAATCTCAATGCCAGAATGCAAGCTAAATGTCTGACAACATCTCACTGGCAAAGATTGCTCAGTATACTTATTTATGACACTGAAATGGATCAGACAAGCTTCCTAATGTCTGTTCAGTGACATCAGCAAGTGAGAAAATTCTAGTAGAAGAATCTGGAAGTTTATAGAAATTAATAGAAATAAGGTTAGAAGAATGGAGGCTTGGAAGATTTTGCCTATTTCTTGGTATGTACCAAATTGATTCTTCAAGAGCACCCGGTTTTACCTCTCTTATACACTGTAAGACACTTCATAAAAAGCTACACCTCTGTCTCCCAGCATACTCCTAAATCCTGTCAAACATAATAGGTTAAAACTTATCAGTAATAACAGAAATGTCATGTATTTCAAAGATACATGATGTTACAAACATGTAAATAATGCAATCTTAAATAAACTTATTTCACTTCAAAAATTTTAAGTAAAAATAAACTATTCTGATAAAATTTCTGTGCTACTAAAATAAGGATGTTGAATAATTGCTAAGTTATATGTTCAAGCAAGTTAAACTCCTGTGGCCTCAGTGGTTTTCAGCAAGGGCATGTGAGCATCCTTGCCCTATTATTAGTGGCAATATCAAGGGTTACATGACATAAACAAAGTTATATGGCTACACAAAGACAACATCTGCAACTTATTAGAGTTGTACAGTAGGAGTGTGTTTCACTATTAAAGATGAAGCCTCAGGGGTGTAATAGATCATCAGAACTGCAGTTCATGGCTGCTCTGTCTGATGAAAATTTTATCTTTGGTTCATCAAATGTTTTTTCTGCTATAAGTGGAAACAAATTATTTAGACTGGTTAGTAAAAACAGGAAGATAAATGGTGAGTTTAATATCTCAAAATTTTTGTCTAAAAGACAAAAGTCATTATATTTTTAAAGGTGAATGGAATATCAATAGAGTTGCTAATATCATCTCCAAAAAGTGAGCTTAAAATTAAAAAGAGCTACATCTCTATTCCAAGTCAGCTATTCAACTTTTGAGCGATTTAATGAGCACTGTCTTTTTATCGGAAAGATTTTGCTTCAAAAAGGAGATATCTACTGTAACTGTGAAATTAAGATAATCAGAATTCAAAGATTTGAACCCACCATTCAATTTATTATGACAGTATTGGTTCAGCTGGAGTCAGCTGAAAGTAGTTGAAACATGTTAGGTAAGTTTTGTCTGGTGATGGATTGTGTTGCACCACTGCAAATAATGAAATAGGAGAATTGAATGAAAAAAAAAATGGTGGGAAAAAGGAATATGAAATGATGTTCACAGAGGAAAATTCCTCATCTTCAATGATGTTGAATTTAGGTCCCTACATTTGTGTGTCCTATGCTGTTGTTAACAAGTTTCCTGAAATATTCTGAGGAAATTATGCCAAGCAGACAACATTTTTTTCTCCCCACCCCCAGTCTAGTCAGACATTGGCAGAAATGAGGGAATAATGTCCTCATTTCCTGATGCCTTTTGATGAATTTCTCACAAAGATTGTTTGTCCACATGGAGAATATATCTATGTATTACCATACTTTTTAAAAAGCACAAGTACAATGGGCATGTTATCCTGCTAGAAATTCTGCCAGTAGGCCAGATGGAAGGTAGAGGAGGAGTGAGGAGTTGTAGGAATTGAAAAATTCCCATTTTGAAAATTACCAGATTTAAACATGCAGTTGAAAGAATTAAAAACAATTATTTAAACATTGCAGTAGAATTTAATTAATTGAACATTGGGGACTGATGGCATCTCCTGCTACTCACCTGGCACTTACTGGGGCTGTAAATGTGTCCAATGAGAGGCTTACAGAGACCCCTCCACGGGCTATTGTATATTCCTTCTCTAGTTGGCCCTTCTCTCTTCTGAATAAACTTGGTCTGCTTATCCCTGCTCTTCTTGCAAAGCAAATGGAAATTGTCGAAAGGAGGAAGCCAGGTCTGCTTAAACACAAAGCCGCACCAGTGGAAGTGCTAACCTCCTTCAGTTTTGGGACCTGTGTGTTGTACTCTCTCCTCTGGTCACTCACTCCCAAGTTGTAGCAAATTGAACTGAAAATATAACTTTGAAGCTGTATTCCTCTTAACAGGATTTTTTTTTCCACTGCAATGGAAAATCAAACTAGAAGTGAATTAAACTGCTGCTAATTTAGCCTCATGTGCTCAGTCAGCCCCACAGTGCCTGAAGCACTGCCTGAAGACCTGCCAGGTGCAGAGACAGTGCAGGGAGCCCTGCAGACCTGGCCAGGGGCGTGCATGGATGGAGGCAGGGATCAGAGCTGCCAGACAACTGTTATTTGCTTTTGGCTTGACTTGGCAAAGCAAAGACTGTCTGGATGAAGAAGGGCCCACTGCTGTGTTCTTGGGAGTGTGCTTCTCTATTCCTCTGATCTTTCCTCTCTCCAGCCAAGTTTTCCATCTGGGGACATACAGAGGCAGGAGGGCATTTTTTCCTGAGAACAACTAGACGATGTTATTGCATACTAATTTTGAAAAGCAACAGTGTCCAGTATAAGTCTGTGAAATGCAATGTCGAACAGTGCTGCTTTATTGATCTGGAGAGATCAACTGTTTCTAGTAACCTGTTGTTTTGTTTCTTTCTCAGTTCTCCACAGGCATTCGATTTTCTGTTCAGCATTTTGAAAATGCAGACTTCAGCATCAATTTTGAGCTGCAAATAAAAAGGTTAGATATTTTATCAAGAGCATGGTTATTTAAATTATTAATTCCTCTTGCCATATGAAGTTTATTATATAATAAGGTCTCTTTTGAGTATCAGTAATTATTTCAGGGGCTCTCCAATGGTAGTTTATGTCAGGAGGATTTTTGAATTTGGAACCTCATTAACTATTGGGAGACTCAGTCCAATTTCTTTAAAATTCAGGTTATTCAGATATTTCTTGAAAATTCAGGTTAACTGAGTTTTTAAGTATCTTCTGCAGATTTTCCAAATCTGAACTTTATCTAAACTTCAGAATTAATACACAGTAATCACTTTGTAACAAAGGTGAATATGCACAAACATATCGTGCTCTGAATTAAACCAGACATGTTGCTTCTTCACAAAAATTTAGAAAACAAAAGGAAAGCAGTTAAAATATGCTCAGCAGATTTACTGGCACGGAGAGAACTGTTTCAGTTTGATGCAGGTGAACCTTTGTAATTTTTCCATTTGATTCCTCCCCATTTGTGGGCTTCACATATTAATATTGTAGAATCTTGTGTTTTATACTGAGCAGAACTTCTCCCACAGAGACAAAAAAGCACAGAGTGGGCTGGGTTAGGATAACAGCAAAAACAAACCCGGGACTTTTTCAGTAGGTGGAAGGGCTTCTGCTCCATCTGTCCTCATCAAATACTCACTGGAGTTCTGCATGGGGCCCTCCCTGCCCCACATGCAGAGACTTAATTGCAAATGTCTGGCCTTTAATGACAGCCTTGATCACGTTCATTATGGTAAATAACTGAGACATTTGAAATGTTTAAGTCATGTCTCCATAATGTAACCCTTGAAGGGAAAGGACACGCAGAAACTCAGGAAAGGCACAGCAATGGCACAGAAGTCCATTAGGCATTTGGTCTCCCTGGAATCTGGGTGGGGACCATGCAAACCTGGACATGAGCTCCCCTGGAGAGAGACACAGCATTTACCTGTAGGCTCCCTGTCCATGCCACTGTTCATTTCTTAGTGCAAGCAGTAGTTTTAAATGGTTGTCCAAGGCTCATGTCACCACCCTTTTCATGCTGTGAAACTGGGGAGGTCCAGAGCTTTTTGGGTAATTAAATTTGTATAGGTAATAAGAGTTGCATGTAGGTAACAGTTTTTAAAAAGTGACAAGAATTTCCTGAGGAATAAGTCTGAACTTCAGGAGACAACAACATCTCATGCTTCCTCCATGAGTGTGACTCACTAAAATGTAAAGGAAGAAAATGTGTTGGGCTACAAACTGGTATGAAAATGTTGAAGAGCACTCAGCTATTTAAAAAACAACAAAAAAGGAAAGAATAAAGAGTAAAATTTCTTGCATTGGGAATGTACCCTACAGTTAAAACTCACTGCTTTGTACATTCATTCACAAGCAGCAGGACAGTTTGTGTATTTCTATGTTCTTAGTGAACAGATAAAACAATCCTAAAAGAAAACAGAGCAGAACTCCATGAAGCAAACAGAGGAAATTGCCTAGATGGAGGCAAGAACACATCTGAATTTGAGTCCTACTTTAATTTATTCAAAAGAGAGGACTTTCATTTGCTTCAAAACATCAAGTGGAAAATAAGTATTTTGGTTTGCAAAACTGAAGTTCATTACTTACAAGAAACAAGCAAGAGGCTGAGAAGTGTCTTGAAATCTGATTCCTTTTCTGATGTGGATGTTGCTATGCAATTATGTACCTCTTAGAGAGAGAGATGTCTTGGCGCTTCTTTTAAACTGTTTTCTTCCCCAAAAAATGCCATAAAGCATGAACAAGGTTTGAATAGCAGATATGTATGACCAAAATCTGTATTTTAACTCTATGAAAGTAAGACAAATAAGCAAGTTGGAGAGCACCTTATTCTAACAAAATAGTGGTATAATAATTTTTACACTTTAAACAATTTTTGTACATTTAAACTCAAAACAATGGCCATAGAGTATTACCTAAAATTTCAAATAATGTTTGATGGGAATTTGCATTAGTTTACAAACAAATTAGAGCTGCTCTTAATTTCAGCAATCTGTAACCAGAAAGCCTGGATCAAAGCTCTTTATTCCTCAGGAGTCAGTCACTGGAAATGCTGACCTCCTCTGAATGTTTCCAATTGACTGATGGTACCCAGATGTGATAGCAGCAAACTGGGACAGCAATAGAAACTTGGTGTTCATGGAGCAAGGAAACCACACTTGATTGAAAAAAAAAATCCAAATTTAGTGTTGTTAATCTCATAGTTAAATAAATTCTAAGTCTGTAATTACTTCACTTTCTTCATTAATTTGAACTTGCAAACCTTTTTTATAGGAATGGGCTGTAATCACAGGAGTAGCCTTTTGAAGTAAGAGAAATTATGTTTATTACTAAGGATTTACAATCAGAAAAGACAATAAGATGAGTGAGAGCTCTAGATTTTAAACACGGAGATCTGTTTTCACTACTAAGTGGTTTTAAAAATGTAAACACTCTGGATAGGGGAGGGAAGAAAATAAGAAAATTAGAGAAACAGTTGATCTTGGTTCTTTTTCCCCAAAGACTCAGTCATGCTAAAGTCACAGGTTTGGAGAATCATAAAAGTAAATTTTATTCTAACAAAGCTTGTATTGTTCATTAACACTGCCTTCCTCCAGTGGATGAAACAAAGTTCTATTCTATTAAGGTACTTTTATCTATACAGATAGCCAAGTTGTACAAGATATTCTGAGCCAAATAAATTTGTAACATCCTATTCATTATCACAGGATTCTTTAAAGGAAGCTTGAGTTGATGATATTATTAAATATGTGATGAGCTCAAATAATATCCATCTTAAATACCCGTGTCCTACAGGACTGAAGAGTGCCCAGTGGGCCTTGTGTGTTGAGTGATATGATAATCTAGAGTTCTGATATAAAACCTTTTTTAATACTTGCACGTATATTTTCCAGTTCTAACAAGATAAATCCCACCAGCAACTTAGTGAACCTCCATATCAACATCAGTGCTGCAGCTCAAGTACAGATCAGAGGGTAAGTATTCAACTATTTAAACTCATTTTGATAACTACTTTTTTACAGAATCTTTCTGCATATGATAATCCCATGCTTATTATAAACCCAAATGCCTTATCCATCTTGGACACCAGGGTCTCACCCCTGCAAGCATTGCAGGATGGAACTACTACAAACTTATTGACTGTCTGTGCAAAGACAGCAGCTTAAAGAATCTCACATTGTAGTAACACCAGTCAGAGCCAGCATTTCATTTGGGCATTTAAATTGTGCATGGATGTTACTAATATAAAATGCCTGCTCGTATGTGTAGGTCTTCTTGTGCAACCACTTGAATGCTTAATGCTGAATACCAAACAGAATCTACTGCCTTTATGGCTGGAAATGTGAAACACATTATGGCAAGGCATGTAGTAATAGAGAGCAGAGTGAGGCCTTTGAAGAAAGGATGAGTAAGAAATGAGTAATGATGAACTGTTCACTAACACAAAGTATACCAAAATTAAACAAGTACAGGATATAATCAAAGATGATCATTTCTACCTCTCTTTTTGTATACAGCTTAGTTTTAGAAATTATAAAATGCAATTAGGTGATAATTGCCAGCTGAACACGAGCCAGCACTGTGCCTGTGTGGCCAAGAAGGCCAATGGCACCCTGGCTTGTATCAGACATGGTGTGGCCAGCAGGCTTTGATCAACCCTCTGTGCTTGGAACTGATGAGGCCAAACCTCAAATACTGGCATCATTTTTGCTCCCCTCTCTACAAGAAGGGCATTGAGGTACTGGAGGAAAGAGGACCAAAGCTGGTGGAGGGCCTGGAGCAGCTGAGGGAGCTGGGGGCGTTCAGCCTGGAGAAAAGGAGGCTCAGGAAGACCTTACTGCTCTCTACAAATAACTGAAAGGAGGTAGATGTATGGTGGGAATCAGTCTCCTCTCCCAGATAACAAGTGAGAGGACAAGATGAAATGGCCTTTAGTGGCAGCAGGGGAGGTTCCATTTAGATATTAGGAAAATCTTCTTCACAGAAGGAGTTGTCAAGGACTGGAAGAGGCTCCTCAGGGAAATGGTACAATCACTATACTGGGAGATATTGAAAAGACATGTAGATCTGGCACTGAGGGACATGCTTTAATAGTGAACTTGGCAGCACTAGTTTTTGGTTGGACTCCATGATCTTTAAGGTTTTTTCCAACCTAAATGATTCTAAGATTTTATAATATTAGAGTGCCTGTAAAATCTTGGAGCTAGACTCCTATTCTGGCATCCTGGAGGAAGTCAGGAGGATGTCTGGGATATTAGATTTCCTACATCTCCTCTTATGAAACTACAGCTCAAAAAAAAAAACCTTAACCATTATCCGCTCTGCAGAGGTTGAACAGGAGCTACAAAATCCAGATTCATTTCCACAGTCAGGCCATGAGGCTTGGCTGATGCAAGGAGGGTAGATGTCTCTAATTTAATGCACCTCAAGAGGCTGGCTTAGATGTAAAAAAAATTAAAATTTATTTATTTATGGGGCTTTAATTTATAAAAATGTATTTCTTGTTGTCACTTCCAAGGCAATATGACTATCTAGTGCTAGCAATAAGTCAATTTTGCAGATCACAGAGAACATGTTTTCTGTTTTAATATTCAATCTATCTGCTCTAATCTGGTCTAATATTCAGTCTAAATCTGAGGGATTTTAAAAGGATTTTTTCATCATATTTTGTAAGTATATTCAAGGTTAAGAAGACCCTAAAACTAGTCAGGTGGAACAAAAAAAGCTGGCAGTCAAAGACTGTGTGGATATATGTCAATTATTCTATTTCTGAAAAGGAGCACTTGAAATACAACATGTTTAATAAGAACAGAAGTGAGAATATTATTTTATTCTCTGTAGCTAGTGGTGATCTAAGGAAATGAGCTGGATAGAAAGAGAGGTGAAGAATACAAAAGGTGTAATACAGAAGTAGAGGCTGAGGAGAAAAGAATCAAAGGTGTTATTTAATGGGCTACAGATGTGTGAGAAAGTGTTGGGAGCCAGCAGCTGCTGGGTGTTGCCATGGGTGAGCATCCCAGGCTAAGGACAGGCTGGAGTTTTGGACTGGAACAGTTGTGGTAACATACACAGGACTTCCCAGTAAGGATTGCTTCCAGTGCTGTGGATTTTTTGGGGGTTTTTTTTGGGATTTTTGTTTTTTTGGTTTTTTTTTTTTTTTTTGTGAAATCTCTCCTCACTTTAATAAAAAAGTCTTACAAACTTTTTATTTTTTGCAGACTCTTTGGAAACTTTGTCTCCATCATGTTTTTACTGTGCCATAGAGTGTTCCTTTTAATGAAACCTTCTGTAACATGTAAATTGATAGACCAAAAAATGACCACAAAATGTTCAGTTCTTACGGGCTTGGTGATAAGTGGGAAAAGTTGCTTGAATTGCTGCCTGCAATTCTAGGAAACAGGTTATTAAATACAGAGGAATTACTTAATTGAATGACTTCCAGTTTCTTTCCTCTTAAGTATTTCAGTTTCCTTATTAGCTACAGCATTCCCAAATGCTTTGTTGACAGATTTTGCTAATTACTCAGAGATGCTAAAACATGCAGTTCCAAGGGAATTGCTCACTATTTCCTAGATGAAAGAGAGACTATGTCCACATTTGGACTGGAAAATATCTTGCATTAGTTTCTTTACTTCTCTTCTGAGAATTGCAGAAGAGAAGTAAAGAAACTAAAGAAACTACATGCAGATATACTTGCACAGTGGAATGCAAGTACTAATGCTTCTTCTGTGAGAAAGGGAGAAATCTTCAGTAGCCTCTTTAAAAGAAAATTAACATAACTCCTTAGATAATTCAATAAGCAGTTGCTTTGATAACTAAGATTTAATTATTTTGCTTACCTTTCTTCATCTATAAAAATGTAGGAGTTTTAATTATCTCTCACTGCTGGAAAAGCACTAGAGGAATGAGGGATTCACGAAGGAAGTAATTTGGATTAAGAGGATTGGTAGCTGGCAGAATTTTTATTGTATATCCCCATATAAGCCTTTTCCGTGCACCATACTTTGTTTATCATATTTTTCAGTACTTTTGTTTCATTATACTTGTCACCTAAAAGTCTAGGAAAATCCTTGCCTAATAAATCATTCAAATGTTAAAAACATTCTCACTTAAATGCAAAATAAAATAGTTAAAAGTGTGAATTTGTTTTTCTTTGACCCAATTTTGCTACCTTTGTGTCAATAGTGGAAGTCCTCAAAATAACTGTAAATTCTGTTAATATAAATGTTCTTATATACACTACAATAATTTTAATTTAATGTCTAAATTTATACTTTACATTTTGTAATTCCATGGATAAGAATACTTCCCTGGCAGTACAAGAGAAAACACTGAGTTTTGAAACCTCACGTTTTCTTCTTTTTGTCTCTGTACAGTTTCTGATTTGCAGTTTTTTATGGTAGATTAAGGGTCTATGTTTCTTGGCTTTTGTAACACTCTGAAGTTCCCAGACAGCAATCAATAATTAAAATTCATATTGGAAACAGGATGATTTGTGAAACTTAGGCCAAGTACCTAATGAGAAATTACTTTTTAATTAATACGTTTTGTATTAAGATTGGCTTGTGAATTTACCTCTGGCATTCTTGTTAGTCCGAACTGCTGGCATTTTGAAGTCTGAGGAATTATTAAGAGTTAGGATACTCCTGAACACACCAAATTTCACCAAGAGTTATACTTCAGCTGGATGGCATTAAGCTGTTCTTCTCTGGGATTTCCTGCTGCTTTGAGAAGCTGTATACTGTAGTAAATTTTCATTCATTGTATATGACAGAAGAGCTGTAATCAAGAACAGTTTGTTCCTTCCAATAGTATTTTTTCAGCATTTGCAACAAAACTATCCAATCTTTTCTTCAAGGGGCCATCTGCAGCAGGGCCACTGCAAAGTGATTAACAGCAGTGCCTAGAAGTCCATTATGGTATTCAAATTTTACACTCTTAAAAAAAAAAATATTGTTTTTTAACAGTTTTCTATTAGCAAAACTCCAGTTTTGGCAGAACCAACATTGAAATTCTATGGATCTTCTTTCAGCTAAAGACTCCATAAATCAGCAAAACTCAGTGAGAGTTGACCCTGGCAAAGAAAGGGTAACACCATTTCCTTGTACCACCAAGGACCACATGCAGTACTTGTAGGTGACAGATGTCTGTGCCAGAACTGATCTATCATGCTAAAAGAAATTCTTGGGATCTCATTTCCCAACTTCTGAACACCTGAGTGAGGTTTAGTTGGCCTCTGAATGGAACTGGTACAAGGAAATTCCAATTTTAATGTGAAATAAAATGTTTGTGATTCAAATAAAAATGTTAACAGAAGACTACTTTCTCAAGGTCAAATAGAGAAGAAAAGGAAAAATAAAAAAGCAGCTGGAAAGATGTCAGATATTAAGTCACAGTTTTCTTTGTTTATGTTTTATTTGTGTTGCAACTTGCAACAATATTCCAGAGAATGCTTTAACTACCACTTTGTTTGCAAAGCAGTTGGAAAGCCTGGAGAACTCTTTTAGAGTCTAGTCCTGAATTCTGTTTCTCAGTACACCAATTTCCATTATGACTTTATGGAAGTCACAATATCTCTGTTTCCCATCTAGCATGTTATGGAGGCATTGTAGCATTCACTTCACCTAACTCTAATTAATGTGCTCAAATAACAAGCTTTGAGGGCTCAGGTTTTTATAGTGGTCTTCATTTCATTCTAAAACTAATGCAATCATTCACTGGTAATAGTTACTGTTTTAACCTGTTTTATGCAGTTACTGTTTTATACTGTTTTGCATATTACAGAGTGTCTCACCCCCCAACAATTATTTTGCCACTTCACAACTGGGAACCCAAAGATGAACCTACAAAAGAGGAAGAAGTTGGTCCTTTAGTAGAACACATCTATGAGGTAAAAATTATGTATGTTTCCACAGGACCTCACGCTGCCCCCACTGAATTCCTGATGAATTTGGTTTATTGTCTTTATCTGTAGCTAGATAAAGCCACAAATGTAAATACTCTGACTTTAGCACATGACCCAAATTTAATCTGGGAATTCACAACCCCATTATCTGTTCATATGAGTGGAGGGGATATTAGTTTATGCTAGGAGTCTGTCTTAGATATTTAAGGGATTTATAAACATTTTGGGTGTTTGACAAGAATTAAAAACAGTGCTTAAAAGTTCCTTATAACCAATGTCAAGTATCTTCTCATTAGAAGCTGTACATGCTGTGCACTGGAAAAAATGTTTTCTTTGACATTTAGCTAACTGAAAAATATAATGTAGACATACATGTAAAATATTCTGGTGAAAACAACTCTTAATGTTTGAAGTACACATATTTTTACCTTGTAGTTTTGTTGGTTTTTTTCCTATGGATGATTTGTCAATTAAAAGAGTTCAGCTTAGAAAAATGGCATTGAGTGAACTTCAGGGAATAGAAGCCATCCTTGGAATCTGATGGATGGCCTTTATTCCAGAGGGTAAAACAGGGGGCTTCACATATGGTTATAATTTACAAACTAGCACTCAAGGAAATATAAGCAACTGAGCTTAATCAGTGGTGTAAGATTACAATTTGCAGGACATACTAAAGTATAGTGAATACAACTGTAAAATACAAATTATCATTTATGAATTCCTCATCTAACACATTTCTCTAAACTGAAAAATACTTCAAATCATCCTGTCTCAAGCATCTGAGTTGTTTGTGAAACTGTATTTGTGACTTCAAATATATTAAAATAATTACAGTGATTAGTTACAGTTACTAAGGAAACCACTTACATGGTTTATATCAGCAAAGCATCCAAAAGACTGAGCAGTCTCCCAGAAGATGTAAGATTGAAAAGGCTTTTTATTTTGTTGTAACTAAAGGTCATCAGTCACAAAAATTCTGTAGATTTAAAAAGGAGGTTCTCACATCTCTAGGAACTTTGCATAAAGGTCCATGGTGTTCAGCTTCTATAATTCTTCAAGCCCAGTGACAACACATGTCCAGACTCCTGATGTCATCAGTTATTTTCAAACTGTAAACTGATATAAGGAAACTATTTTAATAGCCTAGGTTTCTAAACTTTTATTATTTCTGTCTTTGCTCATTTTCCCTAGAAAAAATAATTTCTTGGGATATTAATTCAGGAAAACTAGTTCCTTCTTTTGAGAAAATCTAGATTGAGAATGTTGAAAATATAGTTCTTAACCAAAGAAGCTAGTTTAAGTTCTGCTCTATCTTTTATTCTTGTGCCCTGAAATGTGATTCTTTTGTATTCTGAACTTTTGGCTACTATTTACAAGCATGATCTGTTACAGTTCATTGTTCATATTTCTATGGGGTTCATTTGCTAGTGTGCTTTGGGTTGGAATTTTTTTGATACTTTTTTAGAATTCAATTCTTCATATGTAGGAAAAAATGGGAAAAGTGATAGATTTCTTGAATACACACTCAGACAGAAAAGACTGTTCTCTCAGATTTGCCATTGGTTTTGTGACTAACACAAAGAGGTTCTTCTCTCCTACCACAGATTCTCCATCAATAAAGTGATATTTATAGTCTGTAATAATCTTCCCTAAATACTCTAAGGCTGTGTCCACTAAGAATTTGAAAATATTTGAGTGGTGGTTTCAATGTTTTTTGTTATTTTTACTGCCTTGGAAAGTACTGATCATACTTCTTCAACAGCTGCACAATATAGGACCAAGTGCCATCAATCATACAGTTCTCCATGTTGGTTGGCCTGTGTCCAGTAGAGAAGAATTTCTTCTTTATATTCTCCACATTCAGACACATGGACCATTGCACTGTCAAACAAGCTCTCCTATTAATCCAATGCAAATAAAGGTGAGTACTTTATTTCCGTCACTTTCTGCATTTTGATTGGGATTTTTTGCCTACACTTCACATAGAATGGAAGCTTCACATGATTGGAACTTTCTTGGGAATTTTTAACAGTCCAAGATCATTTTCCTGGGTAAGAAGCAAGAAATAGATAGCCTATAACATTTCTAAAGTTAGTGCTTGGTGCATATTTGGTTTCTGTACTCTATATGAGGAGAAGGGTGTGCTCAGTCCCGCTGTCGATGCTACCAACAGAGATGTTACAGAGGGCTCTGTTCCAGTGCCAGCACTGAGGAACACCACACGTCACTGGTCTCCAACTGGACATTAAGCCATTGACCACAGTTCCTTGAGTGTGAGCACACAGCCCATTCATTATCCCCTGAGTGCTCTGTCAGATCCATGTGTTTCCAGCACAAAGACCAGGATGTCTTATGGGACAGTGGCAGATGCTTTGTCTACATGCAAGTAGATGGTGTCAGTTGTTCTTCCCTTGTCCACCAACACTGTGACTCCACCATAGAAGGCCTCCAAATCTGTCAGGCACAATTTGCCTTTAGTGAAGTCATTTTGGCTGTCATCAATCACCTCGTCATTCTCCATGTGCCTTAGCATAGTTTCCAGGAAGATCTGCCCCATGATTGGGCTAGACACAGAAGTGAGACTGACTGGTCTGTAGTTCTGCAGGTTTTCCTTTTTCACCCTTTTTAGAAATGGAGGTTCTGTTTCCCCTTTTCCAGTCAGTGAGAACTTCACCAGACTGACACAACTTTTCAGATACGGATAGTGGCTTTGCCAGTTGATCTGCCAGTTCCCTCAGGTCCCATGGATGCATCTCATCAAGTCTCATGGACAAGTGCAGCTTCAGATTCAGTGCAGGCAGTTCTTCATTCTCCCTTCTGTGATTTGGGCAGTGTGCCTGGAGCGTTCACCAGTGAAGACTGAGGCAGGAAACTCATTGAGTACCTCAGCCTTCTCAACACCCTAGGTAACCAGGTCTCCTATTTCCTTCTGGAGAGAAGTTACATTTTCCCTCACCTACCTTTGAGTATCCATAGAAGTTTTTCATATTGTTTTTAACATCCCTGACTGCATTTCATTCTCTTAGGGCTTTAGCTTTCCTAACCCGATCCCTGGCTGCTTGGACAATTTCCTGTTTAAAGATCTATGTTTGTGATGGCAGATCCCCTCAAAAGAGCTTGGTTTGGCTCAAAGTCAGAAGATTAGGCAAAACACAGCTCTACATATTATCCCATCAAAAACAAGGTATCCAATTTATTAAGCATGACTGATTCCAGACATTTCTGGAGTAAACAACAACACTTCTCAAGTTTAAGCAGTAGCCTGTTAAACATCTTTCAGGGAGAGCTGCATTCCAAGTGCTAAAAATGCTCTACATCTTTTGCATACCAGAATGGGTGTGAGTTTGGTATATTGGATGAAAGGGGTGACAACTTTCTAGTGATGAGGAGTGGTCACAGCCTAAGTAGTTACAAGTCAAGTCTTTAGCCTGAACAGACAGAACTACAGTACCTACTTAAAAAGGGTAAAGAAAAATTGATGTCTACTAAATACAATATTGCTAGAGTTTTGTGTTTCACCCAGGAAAACAAAGAGGTGTTGGAATTCCACCCTTTTATTTAGTTTCTTTAGAGAAAGGAAAAGCAAATGAGTGATAGGAAAGAGAAGGTAGAAAATGTCTGTCCAGTTTATACCCAAAGCACATCAAAATTGGAGACAGCGAATTTTTTCTGCACATTTTTTCTACTTAATTTTTCACCTCTTTTTGAGAAGTGGTGAGGAGGAAGAAGCTAAGGTGCTGCATTTGTACTTGCAAGCCTCGTTTCTCAAACTCACTGATCAGATCAGGTTGCAAGTATGTGAAAAGCAGTTCAGCATCCTCCCACCCTAGCCACTGTGTTCTATTTAAGATTGAATTAAGAAGCTGTGTAGAATACTGCCACAGTTCTTACTGATATTTTCAGGCAATGTATATTTTTTTATTTAATTTATTTTATTTTTTAAGAAGTTTGCTCTTTTCCTTCTCCTACTTGACAATGATTGCATCTGTTACATAAAAAAGACTGAATTCTTGTGAAGCTTGTGAGAAATTTTCCTGTAATAATGGTCCCTCTGTTGTGGCAGAATATGGCTTTAGATGCACAGTTTTTATGGCAATAAATTAAATATGCTTTCCTTATTTCAGTTTTTCAAAGCATTGAACAGTATGAATACACAAGTCAAGTTTCAAATATGTAATGCTTATCTATTGCTTCAGATGGCAAGAGGACACAGAGACAGGCTTCTTCAAGTTTCAGACAAACATCAGGATGCTTTGCTCAAATTTCCAAATAAGGCTAAGGACATTAAATGCCTGACTTCTCTTGGATATCTGAACTTACCTCTCTTAGGGGTTTCCCCTTTAAAATTACTCAGATTGTTCTGTTTCGATCAAAGCAGTACATTCCTCCCCACTGCTGAATTTCTTGTCTTGTAAAAAGGTTTTATTTGAGCTTTGCTGCCTAGTCCACAAAGATAAGTCACACCTATAAACACATGGGAAGATTTTGTTTAGGAACTTTTCTGTAGATTATCTTCTGTGAAGACAGTGAGGGATGTGAAAAGATGATAAAATTATGAATCTTAAAAAAGGTGTAAAAAGGAGCCAAAGTACTTATCAAAGATATGGAATGAATTCCAAGCAGAAGAACTCAGAACACAGTACACTAGGACACTTCAGTCTAGAAAAGAGGTGACTGTGCACAAATATGATCCTCAAAATGAGTAGTGGCAGGAAGAGTGTGGGTGTGGATTGACTGTTCTCTGCCTCTTCCTGCACAGGAAGTGGAACATCTAATGAAGTCTGGGGAGCCAGATTCAAAACAAGCAAAAGGAAGTGATGGCTCTTGGTGGCAGGTCTCAGGTGTCTGGGATTTGTGGCCAGAGGGAAGTAGTCAAGGTGAAAAGTTTACGTGATTCTAAGAGGAAAGTAAACAAATTCCCAAAAGAGAAGTTCAGTGAAGATTAGTAAATGAACACAAACTTCATACAGATAAGGAAGTCCCTGTACTGAAAACATTTGGAAGCTGAAAGTTCTTAGGAGAGTATTGTGTATGCATGCCCCATTCTTACTTCCTTCTTACTCTTCCTAAGCTGTGATGAGAAGAGGGCTCAGTTAGATTGCCTTCTGTCTTGAGACAGTATTCCTGATGAGTTGGTTTTTTTCTTCCAGATTGATGGCAAAAAGCATTTTTATAAAACCTGTACCTATAAATATCACTGCTGTAGAATATACAGACATTTGGTGCATTCTCAGTGGCTGAGCACTGCTGCACCACGAGTGAGGCATCTGTCAGGGCAGCAGTGAAATAACAACAAAAATCCACCACATGTATGAGGCACATCCACCAACATGAGTGGCAGGAGATAACCCCTTCCAGAGGCAGTCTGCTCATGCTGCAAAACTGTTAGTACTGTCTTTAGGGTTTGATCCTGGGACAAAGCAATAACATCCAATGCATTGCTCTTGAATGGTCACCAACTGCTCTTGTGTAATTTTGTGTATAATCTAGTAATATAATATACGTATATTGTATATTATAAAATATATATTGTATTTAAATATATATATGAAATATTTAAATATCTATAATGCAGCATAATATAATATAATGTATGTAATATAAAATAATGTGTATCATTATGTTGCATACATTATATTATAACTTTGTGTAAAAAAGTCCTCTTCCAGAACATTTCTGATGGAGTTACACAATGCAGCAAAGGCTGTAGCCTGGCTAGAAAACCAGAAAAGTGGAACAGGGTATTGGAATGAGAAGTGGGGGACTGGAGAGGTCTGGAAACCTGCTCAAAGTAATAATGCTCAGGAGAAGAAGGCAGTACAGTCTTCCATGGTGGGGAAACTGAGACAGTCTGCTGTAGTTAAAGGGAGGGAGTGATCCTCTAAGATAGTGTGCCAGATACATGACATATAAAATAGCAACAGAGCTAGATTATTCAGTTGAGCATTTCCATGTGACCAGATCAAGAGGGATAAAATAATATCTTTAACCTGGACATCTAGGCCACTGGACAAATTCTGCTTTTAGATGCAGGAGACACACGTTTCTCTTAACTGCAGAGGGCTCTATTTGAACCTTTGCTGTAACAATTCACAAGGATGCTAACACTCTAGGATCCATGAAAAAAGAAAAATGTAAAGATGAAAATCCTTTGGTATTCAGATGGATCTATGTATATACCCATTGTGATCGTGTATTGAGGGCTTCTTTGCAGGCACATTTCTATATGGTGGGTTTTTTTTGATTTGTCATCATTATAGAAGTCTATATGCTGGTGAAAGAATTCTGGAAGGAGAGTTTGCATGTTACCACATTGAGAGGGAGAGATTTACTAGCTACTTTTGTGTTCCCTTATTGCAAATAGACAATGCTAACCTCATGAAGCAACAGGAAAAATGAAAAAAAGGGAATTCTTTTTTTTTTCCCATGGGTTTTCATCTGTTAATGAATTATAGTATCTTTCACTTTGTAGGATGCTTTTGACTGAAGATCTCAGACAATGTTAAATGTTTATGTTCTATTCATAGCATTTTTATTTTACTCAGATAAATTACACCAATTTTCCAAATCTAGTACTACACAGCATTAGTGTGTGGGAGGTTTTGTGTGTTTATAGCTATTCTCTTTCCTTTATTGCTACAACATTTATTTCAATTACAAACATTTTCTTTAGGAATTTGTTTAGCATATTTTGTCTTCAGAGGTTAAAGGAACTGATAAGAAGGATCTGATGTAGCACTTTATAATCAGATGTTCTTAAGGCATAGGTTTGGATATATTTAGTTGAGTTCCTGTTGAGATCTTACTATAAACCTCTATGTATATTTTATTGTGATTTTACATGAGTGGATTGTCATGAATTAACATTTATCTGTACTTCTGTAGCACTTGGTTCCAGGAGTTATTTGAGGCTTCATAAAAGAAGCCATAAATGCCCCATATAGAAAGTAAAGACAAACTGCCAACAAAAAATCTATAAATATAAAGCTGAAGAGAATGCATTTGAATGTGAGATTAAAAATGAAGAAGCTGTTGCATTATACAAATTTGAGCTGTTACCAAAACAAATCTGTAACACATGTGATATATGATCAAAAATTGTGTTGTTTTAAGTCAGACTTCCATTTTTTTCTAAAACTGGTAAAATCGTTATATTTTATTAGGCAGATTCTGATCTGAACTAATGAATAAACTACTGTGCAACAGCTGAACTTACCCTGTTATATATATCAGAATTTGCCCCTGAGAGTCTAACAAAATTAAGTAAAGCAACGAAACTGACACCAGTAAAAAGTAGAGAAGAATGTTGTCTGCTGTAATTCCTATAACTGGGTAATATCTTGCTGTGCTATTACTCATCATGCTCCTAGTTGAAGACAAAGTACTCTCATGATTATGCTGTTCAATTGAAAAACCAGTGTTAATCCAAAATTCAAGACCTCTGAGACAGGAACAAATCTGTTAGAATCGTTGTGTGTGTATGTCATTACCATTCCCATTTCTCTCTTTGCAGTTTGCTGTTCCAGAAGACACTCCTGAACTTGCTGCTTTTTTATATAATTCCACAATTTCTCATTACATCAGGAGAAGAGATGTTGCAGTGGCAGAACCTCACAGGAAAAACTCTGCAAGAATATTGGTGAGCTATCTAAAATCTATTTACTGGGAGTGTGCAGGGAAAGGTGAGACTCTGCAGTGCCACAGGCAAGGCAAATGGGACACATCACTGTATTCTTGTTCAGACAATGCTGGAGCAATAGCAATGCTATCTGTCCTAGGAAAATAGTTCTGATTAGACAGTCTGGTACCTATTTGGACTTGGCTGTATTTTCAGAAGTTTTTTTCCACTCCTGTATTCAAAGTGCCATCCTTAGCATACTTCAGCCCTGTAGGTGTCAGCTGCCTTTACCTAAAGGCAATGTGTGAACCCAGTGAACTTCAGATCAGGCAAGGGATTCACAGTCAGTGCTTTTCATCTATTTTTATGAACCTTGGGCAGAGTTTCTTTCATGCTGTCCAGTCTCTTATTAAGCTGTTTACTTAGAAACTCGTGCTTGAATTCCTTGACCTTACTAGAATTTGGAAGCAAACAACCTCACCAACTTAAGTGTTCTGGACTAAGAGAATAATTACTGCTTCTGAAAGGTAATTTGGCAATTTTTATAATGGGAAGAAGATAGAATCTGAAAGTAATGAAAACTGTAATGTTATTAAGAACAAAATCACAGTTTAATCCACTTTAAGCAATAATCACTGTTGACTCCTGTGCCATTCTTTCATCAACCCAATACCCTAGAAAGAATCTGATTCCACTGTGTCTGAAGGAAAATGCCAGGACTTTCAAAGACATGTCAGTCAATATCACAGAACACTTAATCCATTCTTCAGTGATATCTTAATTTTCAGGCATCTTTCTGAGTGACCAGGCTCATAGGCTGCCAACATAAAAATGACTGCAGCAACTGGAAGTGGTTGACAAAGTTCTGAAGTATGCATTGTTTGCACCTTAAAATATGAAGCAGAGAATTTTCACCTGCTTGATGTAGATGGAGCAAACATATTTAGTGGGGTACTCAGTAATATGAAATTGGCACTTTGATGAGCATTCTTCCAGTAAAATATGCTTTTGGTCAGCACAAATTAGGATAGGATTGGGTGCAGTGCTTACCACATATAGCAAGACTTTCCCAGGGTGAACATAGAAAAGCAACGTCATTGGTTCAGTTAGAAGGTGTCCCAATACTAATGCCTTCAGCATTAGTTACTGCTGATGCATAATTTTTTTTTATTTTACATATTGGAAGTATACATGGAAAAATGAATGTTGCTCTTGAAAAGACTGATTGGCCAAAGATAATTCTATGTTTAAAATTGTAATTTTTTAAATAAATTTTAAGCTATTTTCATTTTCATCAAAGCATTTTCACAAAGAGACAAAATGTTCTGAGAACCTCTTATTCTATTTATACTGTTGATTAAATATTTGGTTTCTTTTCCATTAGTTACAATGTTATATTGTTCTGAAAATCACTACAGGCTAAATGCATTACTCAGAAAAACAGAAATATGTGTTCAGGTCCTAAAATGTCAGCCAAAAGTAGACTTTTTTTGCATACTAATGATTTGTTTTGCTAATGTGTGTTTTTGACCACTATGATTAATGAAAACAAGTCTTCTCCTTCCTGCAAAATAAATAAATCTGTTTGGAGGATGTTTAAAGCCAAATAAACAGATGCTTTAAAATATTTAAAAAAAAAAGTTTATAGTTGTAAGTTCCAGGGTTTACAGTTTCATTTTCAGTCAGATATAGAAAGCAGCAATTAAGCATACAGCTTCTGCTTATCCTCCAATAAGACAGAGATTTGCGAGGAAAGCTGTCTATAAAGATACAAGATTCCTTAAGAGTGTTTTCAGATCTGTTCCATGCATCATCATCTCATTTCCTGAAGATTGGGTATTGGTAGTGCATTCTCACTCTCACTAGGGAGTAAACTTACTTTTGAAAACTTAGCTTTGCTTTTGAGGTCACAAGGCCTTCTGTCATGGGAGGGATTCTCTGCTTTGTTATAAAAATAGGAATCAATTAAAACCTCAGCCTTCCCCTGAGTCAAACAAAACTTTTCAGATAAAACCCATTTGTATATACAACATTTTTTATTTTTTCCACAAACATTTAATCATTTTTTATGGGATCATTTTTCCTTTTTATGCCCTAAACAACCACATAATTCCTGTGGTTACCCCATGAGACTCTGCTTATTCCCTTCAGTGGCTTCCAGTCAGCTTTTAACCTTTAGTGTGACATTCTTTTGGCAGACTTCAGGAGTATATAGTTTTGAGTTGCAATGTTTGGCTTTTGCTTTCAGCCTTGTGTATGGGCCAGAATCACTGCTCATCAGGAATGGTTCATGGACAGTGAGCTTCAAGTAAAGCAACTAATGAATCTCAGCAAATGTTCTGGCTGCTATGATGTAAATATCAGTGGGAAAACCAGCAGAGTTAGAAAAGGGCAAAGATTTAGCAATATAAATAAACACCTAATGCATAGAGAACAGAAAAAAAAGCTAAAAATGAAATCATAAAATGATTGATAGGTGAGGAAAAAGCACGTGTTTCAAAGGATTGATAAGTGCCTGGACATTTTAAGAGTTCTTCAGAGCAGACACTGTTGAAAATTATTACTTTTATTTTCTTTACTGTAGGTAGGTGTTTGTATTCACTGGTGATTCAAAAAGAATCTGCTCCTTGATTTAGAATTATCTCAATGACTCATGGGGTATCTCATATACATTAGATAAAATTACTGATTTCAAACTATTTAGCGCTCTTTAAGGAAAGTTTATTTGTTTTTGCTTATTTACAGCGTTTGAAAATGATTTTGTTTTCAAAACATAAGTATGACTTCCCTTTATTTTTTGCTTAGAACTGTACAAATGTGAAGTGTGTCTTAGTTTCGTGCACTGTGGGACAGCTGGAAAGAGGAAAGAGTGCTGCACTAAAAATCAGGTCCCGGCTCTGGGCACAAACATTCCTGGAGGTAATACACACAAACATCTCTTTCTATACACATAAAATAATAATTTATTTGAGCAGATATTTTAAAATAAAAATTAATAAATTAAATGGGGCAAATGTAAATACTTCTTGCTACCATTTTCTTTGAAGATAACATCTCACTGGTTCCTGTCCAGGTTTTTTGGATGCTGCTTACATTTTTTTTTCTTGCTATCACTCCTCAAATTTATGTCCTGAATCCTACTTGAAGATTCCAAGATTATTTTTAAGTACCTCTCCTAGTTTTGTTTCTGCTTTCCTAGACTGACCTAAATGTTCTGCATTTATAACCTCTTTTACAATGGAAGGTTTTTCTTGGAGCCAAAGAGTGTATCATGTACACTATGTTCAGCTTAAACATTCATTGTTATTCATTCTCTGTTAATCTAGGGAAGAGTAGTACGCATCAAGCTCATATGATACATGACACTCATGTAGTGACAATCTGTCTTACTGCTCAAAGGGGCAGTGTAGATGATGGCAAAAAATAAAACTTCTCTTTGCAAATTCTTGCATTCCAACTTCTGCTCTCAGATTTATATTCACACTGCATAAAGGGACCTGTTGGAGTGAGGGCAGAGGAGGGCCACAAAGATGACTGGAAGAATAAAACAGTTCTCTTGTGAGGAAAGGCTGAGAGAGCTGGGGTTGTTGAGACTGGAGAAGGGAAGGCTGCAGGAAGAGTTTATAGCACCTTCCAGTACCTAAAGGGGTCTTCTGAGAAAGATGGGAACAAATCTTTTAGCAGGGCATGTTGCAATAAAACAAGGGGTAATGGTTTTCAACTACAAGTGCATCTATTTAGATTAGATGCAAGAAAGAAGTGTTTCAAAATGAGGGTGGTGAAATGCTGGAACAGGTTGCCCAGAGAGATGGGCAGATGTGGCAGATGTCCCATGCCTGGAAACATTCAAGGTCAGATTGGACTCTGAACAGCTTGGACCAATTGAAGATGTCCATGCTTATGGCAGATGACTTTTAAAGTTCCCTTCCAACCCAAATTATTCTATGATTTTGTAAGGCAGAGGGATTTTACTGTGAGCTGTTACCTCACAGCTGGCCTTGTGTCTGTATTTACTCTACAGTTTTCATACCTTTAACACTGGAAAATACACTGAGATACATTTGCTGTTATTAAGAAATACCTGCATCTCCTGTCTCGATCAAGCTGATTTATTATTGGCTTGTTTCTCAAGGAATTCAGGATTTCTCAGTCTTTCTATCTGGAATGCAAGAATCTTTCCTGAGTTTCCTACAGCTGTGGGAGAATTCTTCATATGCAGGGTACCTCTTACCTAGCAAGAGAAGAATTGAGGATCTTCAGTTTACTGCTTTAAATTAAGCTCCTCATGCATTTGAAGTTAATTTCTCCCTTCCCTCAAATATGAAAGTAGACCAAAGAAATTCATCCTCACTTGCTTTCCTGGAGAAATGAGAGCAGATAGGATAATATTTCCAGAAAGTTGAATGCCAGATCAGTAGCTAACCAAATCCATAATGGGTGCAAACTTTTGGGAGGTCATTGGTCTCCCTTGCTGTACAGGACTATGGCAGTGGTTATTTGAAAGGATGACTTGAAAGGCTTTTCTACCTATCTGTCAGGAGGCCAGGTCACATTCTGTCTTTCTTCTCCAAAAGCTGTTGTAGGACCACTGTGACCAAAGAACACTGAAGTTCTGTCCTCACTCTCTAGCCTTGCTTGAAGGAAAGAGATTTCTGTCTCACTCAGTAACAAAGGACATCCTTTCAGAGACTAAGTGAACTAATTCCTGATTTGTCAGTGCATTTTCTTTCTATGAACAATCAATCCCAAGAAACTTTCATATCCTTTCTTCAGTTCCATTAACAAAAAGAAGGCTTTTAAGAGGAAGCATATTTGAAAAATGTTAGATATGTCTAGATACTCTAGAATGGATGTACCTCATTTAGGTTTGCTGAGTGAGTCATCTGCTAGTGCAAAAAAAAAAAGGCAAGGTCTGGTTCAAATTTAAGCCCAAAAACATGACAGTTTGGATGTGTCTTTATCCTTCCAAATCTGGGAAATGGGATGGACATTATTTGGTGCAAGCTTTTGCAAAGGACAGAAAGTACCAGTATGTAAGCATCTCTACAGCTATGGAAGAAGCATATCTATTGGGAAATAGAATGGGCATTTGATTCCATTTTTTCCCAATTTCTTGGGAATTAAGATTAAGAGGCTGCTGGACAAGCTCACACAGGCTATTAAGTTCAGGTAAGAGCTTCACTGCACTGGTTCTCTGTTCCTAACACACAGAGAGAAGCAGAGATATTATCCTTGACTGGAACAATATATGACAATATTGAGCACTGCAGTGGGCAAGCAATAACACAGAGGATCTTCATCATTTTCTTCACCAAGCAAAAGATAAAGCTCCCTTAGCTACCTTCCTTACTGGGAACTGAGCCTGATGTATTCCAGATCCAGTCAAGTCTTTCTCCTCATCATTCTGCTGGTGAAATACAATTAACTCTGAAAGGGCCAAAAAGTAGATCTTGTGAAAAAATCCTGTGCACAGATCTTTAGATGAAGTTTCTAGGCTATTTACAGCTATTTCTGTGGAAATTAGCCTCATTAGGATTTTCCTAAGTCTAGTTTAGTATATGTCAATAAAGATCTGTAAGAGATTAAAGTTAAACAAAATTAATGAGAAACAGTTTCTCTGAGTTTTTGGCTGTGACAGGAGATGGGTAACAATTGAAATAAACTAGCCACAGGGGACACAAAATCTCCTTTGTTTGGATAACTCTTAGTAAAAACAATCTTTTTGTGGGGTTTAACTTTAGTTGGACTGACTTAGGTTCAGAACAAGTGTAACTGCATGAAATTCAGTGGCATGTTTAATGCAGAGCAGTGGAACTCATTTTATGAAATTTTAGTAATCTAAAGTTAGATGCAAAAGCTGGTTGCTAACTCTGTAGACAGTGACAAGACAGAGAGGTATCTTCAGAGGATGCATTATCCAGCTGATTTGAAACGTCTCTCTGTCTGATCTGGATGGGGAGAAGGGTCAAAGCTGGGCCTTGGGACCTGGGTGTGTGCAAACACACCAGGCAATGCCAGTGCTGCAGTCCTTTAGCTCCTCCTTGCTCTTTAATAAACCCTGCTTGCTCTGCCTGCACCTCCCTTCACTCAGGGAGCTCCAGGCAGAGATGGAATGTTACACCAGCTTGTGGGCAGGGACAAGGGTGAGCCATCCTGTAGATTCATAGGAAAGACCTCATGGGAAACACTCCTACCAGATTACTCCACTGGTCTTACATACCCTTGCTATCAAACAAGACTCTTTATGGGCTGTGATTTTACCTTTTCCCTGTAAACATTTCTGTGTCTTTTCAATAGTAATTTGCAATTCTTGTTAAGAATCAGAAAAACTCCACTCGAAGCAACAGAATTTTTTTCCTAAGTAGAAAAAGGTAGTTTCCAGAGAACTGTTTCATCCCCCAATTTATGTCTAATTATATGCCAGAATAACATGATCTTTATTTCACATGCAAACTTGGAGACAGTAAATAGTGTCCTAGGGTCTGGTTGTCTTCCTTCCACTCATCTCAAAACAGTTCCCTTTTTCACAGCCTCTTTTAAAATTAACAGTTACACAACCATCACCATAAAAGACTGTAGAACATAATTAGTTTCCTAAAAAGGGCACAATCTGCTCTTAGTAAGTCTGCAACTGTTGTTAACTAGGCTGAAATCTGCAGATTCAAACTGAGGATTAAAATGCAGTTAAAATAATCAGGATGAGGTTATTGTGACTCAGGATGAGATTATTGTGACTCAGGAAGGACTGTTCAAGGGCCAGACTGAACCCCACTATCATGCTTTTGTAAAGAAACTTAGGGTAAAAGTCTCTAGAGAAGCATTGCAGTTCATGTAAAAGTTAATGTAAAAGTTTTCATATGCCAAAGAAATCAGAATAATGGTGACATGCAACATTACTCAACTGTGTTATAATTTAAATGAAGACATGATGATTTGCAGAAGAATTTTTTGTGCTCATTAAAGCCGAGAACCCAGTGTCAGGATGTTTTTTCTTCTTAAAGATATGCTAATGCAAACCTGAGAAGGATTTTATTGGAAGTGATTAATTTATGCTAGGGTGAAATAATTAATGGTTTTTAATCAAAGTTACATGGGCAAACATGTGTATGTTGTTGCCACAAAAGACCTGTCATGTATTGAGTGACTCCTTCCTCTTCCACTTAGTTTAACTGACAACAGCTGACCCTTTTGTCTCCTGACAGTTGTGACCTGTAACATTAAAACCCAAACTCCCATAACAAATAACAGCTAAGTGACATGCAGTGATTGGACACATTTGAATAAATAAAGCAGCACAAATTTCCCAACCAGCCAACAAAGATAGAGACAGACGTTGTGCGAAGGCCAAGAAGAATCACATACTTTTTTGGAGTAACTTCAAAGTCTGGCTGTAAATATGAACTCTCTAGTAAAGCTGACTTTTGGATTCAGACTTGCTGATCAGGCAAATAATAGCCTGATTTGTTCAAAACAGAAACAACCTTACATGGTTATGTTATGTTGTGTTCTGATGGGGCTCCATTATGTCTCCATTTGTCTAATCATATTTCTGAGTCATCTGAGGGAGACCCAAGGGGTTTGGTCCAGTATTTGCATGGATGGGTATTTTTGAGTATAAGACTCAGAGTTGGCTAGTAAAACATCTGTTTTGAAAATGCATTTCTAAGTGATGAAGCTGTATAATCTGTCTGATTTGTAACAACCTTGAGGCTCTGAGCTCTTTGGAACTTAAAACATTGTGGGATATGGAACTCAGTGCATTCTTAGCTACTGTTTCATCCTGTACTGAAAATTTCTCATAATGATACAAATCTCCTTCTGGGAGAGGTAGGGGAGGCAGTAATCTACAAAACCACAGAGGATGTGTAAGGTTCCCAAGAAGTTTGAAGTTTATTGTATTTTCTTTTAATATTACTGAA